GGATTTCCTCTTCGCAGCGATGGGAGATGTTTGGTATAAAATGGATGTAAGTGCGTCTAAGGTTTCTCCCACTCCCTCACTCCTCAAAATGGTTTGGTGCATATATAATGAGAACCCTTGTGAATGTGATTCAGCAATTGTGCTCATGTGTTGGTGTTTCTCTGTCAAACTGCATGGGCCCAGTTTCTTGGAGATATGTAGCGTAAAAAACATGAGAACCAGTCAGTAAAGGCCCTGTCACACTGTCACACATGGCGTTCATATTGCGTTGTTGAAATTCTTAAAAATGTAATAAAACGCCATGAAGACGCAGGATCCATGGTACCAGTGGCTTGCAAGCCATCCTTCAGAGATAATGATACATCTTTGTGAAGTCCATGGGAAGTCTAGGAGGTCCGTGTGGCGTTCTATAGCATCCTTGCAGCGTTCTCTAGAAGTTCCATTGAAGACCGATTAGAAGTCTGCGCGGCGTCCTCGGCGTCCTCGTACAACCGTGCTTATTTGCTCCAGAAACCTGACTGCACACAAAGGAAGTCTTGCTCCCCTTGATTATCACATGCTGCCATGGTTGCTAGGATATGGCTCGATAAGATTACCAATACATTCACAAATATTTCACACCTTGGGACGGTATGATATTTTGCGTTGTATCAATTCTTCTGCTAACTTCATTCAGCTCAATTAACATTGTGGGTGATTTTTTATCATATTTTTTTTTCCGGTTGATGTGCATTGACATGTACATGTATGTATCTGTTTGCCAAATGTTAACAGACATCTTCTCTTTACTCTGAATCATTAATTTCATTGACAATGGTTATTTGAAGACAGATATTAAACATTGAAACTCCCTGATATTTTGGTACTTGGTAGATGTGTTTGCCTGTATCTCTTATCAACATTAAAGGACAAACCTCCCCCTTTCCCAAGGCCCCTCCTCCTTAAGAGGGCATACATACACCAACTTGAACTTATATTGGCATTGGTCTATCTGATATTGGCATTGGTCTAGTTAAATTACAAAGTATGTCGATCTGGTATACAAGGTCTAGAAATATTTAGGATACTGATTCGTAGAAATTCAAACCATGTAATACTAGCGGAGTAGTTCATTTAAAAACTTGAATCAACAACACATACATGTCCTCTCAACACGATATTTCCCAGTTAGTCAATCATTCAGTAAAGGAACTTAAAAACCAAATCATGTAAAGAAAAGAGCAACATTTAGGGAGACTGCCAATGTTTTTTAGAAGACAGAAAAAGAACATGTTTATGACTCATGATGCTAATACTGCAATGCTTTTGTCCAGCTTGAAATAATACGTAGTGTTAATAGAAGTCGGCTTGTCTTAGACCTATCCTTTTACACTGCCTTCTCGGCTGGTATCAATTTTAATTACACTTGCACGTGCATGCTTATTCAAGTATTCCAAACATACAGGCACATATGTTACACAATGAACAAGTACCTACAATGTACATGTACGTACGTATACATACTATTGCTTCCCAAATAGAAGTCGTAGAGAGGAACAATTTGATAGCCGCTAAATAACTTTTAACTGTGAATAACCAGTTTTTAAAACCTTTTTCACAACCCTTTTGTTTTACAACCCCTTTGCCGTAAGTACATGTACAATGTTCATTGAGCTGTCATGTTGGTACATGTACATGTATCCTCCCGATAATGACAGAAATGCACATTTTGTGGTCGTATTCAAGCTGACGATGACACTCTGCCGTGAGATTGTGTGACCCTTTATAATTATCGCACGACTCTCTCAAAGTTTGTCATATCTTATAGGACAAACAAATTAAAGCATCAGCTTTCAGTCAAATTTTATATTGAAGCAATTTTTGTGTGTGTAATAGCAATTGTCGTAGTGAAACTGCTTTTGCTGATGTCACGCAACTTGCTTTGCTTTCATTTTCTGTGTGCAGTATGACATAACCACCATACAAAACGGTGCAAAATTGTTCTGACTTTGAGAACTTAGTAAAAAAAGATTGTCTGTTATGTTTTTGGTACAGTAATCAGAGTAAGACTTTCAGTAGATGCATCAGATATTTTCAACAACTAGCGGGTGCTAGCTGGGTGGAGTCTATACTAATGTATTACTTTGACCTCAATTTGCATGTTGACCCCAAGTGGGCGTGGTAAACCTTGGTGAAGCAATTTCGCCACATTTTTCATCATCAACGTTATGGCTTGCACAAGAGCAATACTGTTGGAGTGTTTTCATAGAGATAATGTAATATTTCACTATTCAAAGTCTGAAAGAAACAAATTTGCCGAAAAAGCAAAACAAAACAAATAAATCGTTTTTTTCACATGCCAACGATGACTTCAGAGGACAGTGAAATCGGAGCATTATACCATTATAAAGCCAGAGTCCATCATTTGCAGCTATCCAAAAAGTAACTGGCGTCATTATTATTGAAATATATACTTGGTTGAAAGATAGTAAGGGGATTAAACTCCCTGTGAAATTATTCTTTCTGTCAAGCTGTCATTCTTAAAAAATCAACGAAAGAAGGCCTTTCCAACGGTGCGTCTTAAGAAGCACTGTTGGAAATTTCCGTTAGAAGCTCTTTATTTTATTCGGCGAAGTGCGCACAAGCGTTGACACGACGCACATGCGCGCGCGGTTGCTATAATTCGTCGGATCGGTGCACAACATCGCGTAGCTGCAATGGGCTCGGTGCCAACATGTCTCAGACACTGATCTCAGGCCCAATTCAAAACATGATTCAGCAACTTTTGATTTGAAATCGAGATCCTAGAATGTTGTTTTTTTTCGAAAAATGCAGCTGAAGCTAAGCTGAAACTTCATTAGGTTAGTTGTTCAGCACCCATCTTTAGATTTTGAGCACTTTTGTTGCTTCAAACGAACAAAATGCACAAATTACACATGATGGACTATACCTTTAAGGAGCTGCATACAATAACCAAGCCTCTTCATTAATCAGTGCATTTTGTGCTTGCGCACAGTCTTTACGCCTTTTACAAAAAACGTGACACATAGACATCAGACAGACATCAGACATCAGACAGACGGTGTAGGATCTTTTCATACACGATGTTTTTACTTCGACCTGACAATATATTGTCCAAAACATGCATGGGTTAGCTTCATGCATGTGCTAGTTTCATATTACCATGATTACACACAAGCACGTATGTCACGTATTTGTAATGCATGTACTCTCAAGAGAGCGATAGCACAGTGCTACTGCTGTGCAAAACACTCCCCATTAAAGGGAATGTACATCATTTGCTTTTGTTGCAATTTACAGAAATAAATGGATTTGGATGATTAGTATGTTATAATAAATATTGTTACACTGACTTGTTTCACGTTTTGGGTTCGTAGATGCTGGAAAACCCAAGAAAACCAATCATGTTCTTGTAAGCTTAAGATGAAGCGGAGCAATTTATAGACTTTGGGGAATTGTTAGGTCAGAGTATCAGACTAGCAGGCTTTTACTCCTTCACAGGTGTGTAAGCAATTGCAAACAAAATGCGGAATAACTAAATTTGACAAATTAGGAGCAGTTTTTGAAAAAAAGCCAGTTTTCTCCAACGCTGGTCATCCGACCAGCGTTGGAAAAATACATTTTTTCTTGAAAGTGTCAGCACACCAGCAGCTACGATTTTACAGGATGCTTTAGACTGTCATTCCCTAACAATCCAGTAAGTTATTTCGTGATAATGTGATCATTTCGTTTTTTGATGTTTGCAAATGTTGTACAAGTATGTATTTTCCTTTTAAATCTCCAAAACATGTTTGTGACCTACCGGTACATGATGTATGTATGTACATGTACATGTACATGTACATGTAAAAGAGACAAAGTCAGTTATACACACAGATGCTCAACTTCAACAGGACACGTAAACATTCATTCAGACCCTGGCTTATTTGAAGATGACTTCTTAATTTATTTCCATAGATATGGTACAATTACGAGTACCTTGTGTTTCTATGAATATCTCCATTATTTTTACTTTCAGAAAACAATCAAGAAACCCTATTCCTTGCCTTTTGTTGTGCTGACCTCCAACTTTTTCAGTCAAAAATCTCAGTCTTAAGCCTAGCCATCTCCAAACCTTCAAAATCCAACTGCATGTTTTGTTGGAATCTGTTGGAGTAAGGACTGCACTAGTAAACTGATTATGCTTTACATGGGGTCAGGCATACGACCATAATCAGAGACCAACAGTTTGGGTGTTGAGTTACATATATACTGGGTTGGATTTTGTAAGAATGAGGAAGGTTCCTAGTAAATCACTCACAGGGTTACATAAAGTTCATATACTCAATCTGAAACCATCAGTCTGAAAGCATTAGTCCACCACCCTCAAGTCTCACATGGCAAACCTTAAAGCTACAGTCTATCATTTGCAGCTTAAGTAACTGGTGTAATTATTGTTGAAAAACATACTTGGTTGAAAGATAGTAAGGGAACTAAACTCCCTGTGAAATTATTCTTTCTGGCAAGCTGTCATTTTGAAGTACATGTGTAATCAACGAAAGAAGGCCTTTCCAACGATGCGTCTTAAGAAGCACCGTTGGAAATTTCCGTTAGTAGTTCGTTTTTTTATTCGGTGAAGTGCGCGCAAGCATTGGCACGACGTACACACACGCGCGGTTGCTATAATTCGTTGAATCGGTGCGTGACATCGCGTAGCTGCAATCGGCTCAGTGAGAACGTGTCTCGGATGCTGAATTCAGGCCCAATTCAAAACATGATTCAGCAACTTTTGATGTGTAATCGAGATCCTACAATGTTGTTTTTCTCGAAATATACAGCTGAAGCTGAGCTGAAACTTCATCAGGTTAGTTGTTCAGCACCCTTCTTTAGATTTTGAGCACTTTTGTTGCTTCAAACGAACAAAATGCACAAATTACAAATGATGGACTATACCTTTAAACCCGACACACGTGTTTTACCTGAATAATGATGATTTCTTTGTTTTTGATATGACCTCACAGGCAACCACCTGTATCGCTATTCCAAGGTATTGGATCCTCATCAGCTAGGGGATCCCAAACCACGCCCCCTTCCTGCCTGCCCTCATCTTGCATGGGCCAAAGGAGAACCTCTCAACATATCAGCTCCAAGGTAAGTGCAAGCTCTTCAACAGCCGTCCTATCATTCCATTCCATCTCACTCATTACTCTAATAATCAAGAGATTCCTTTTTGCAGCTGTGCTTGTCAATTTATTCATTTGAAATTGATACAACTCTCACTCAGTCATCAAATACAAATTGCTATATATAAAAAGACATTTTTTTCATTTTTGGTAAAGTTTGAGTGCCAGATTAGCCTGTAGATTTGCAGGAGCGATAAGAGTTCTTAGTAAAGCCGCATTATAATGCAAAGTCCTTTAGGAATGAACAAAAACAACGGTAGAGGGAAGGAGCGAAAATAACAAGTCCATTAACACCAGGGGTCTGAGATGAAGTAGAAATGACACTCTGCTGTGTAGCGGAGTGTGGAGCATTGACAACGTGTTACTCCTGCCGTATTTGCATTCCCCCGGAGGGTGCTGTCCTCAAGATCTCTCCAGAGAGCTACTCGATTATTTTTAGCCATCTCCTGACTCTGTATGCTAATGTCAATGACCCACCCCTTCACATGACAGACAATTCCCAACAAGTTTGAACCTTAGCATTTCGGTAATCTTTTTTTTTTTTTCTCAGCGCAGACTTTCAGAGATTTGCCAAACCATTGCAGGTTGGCTGTTATATTTTTCAGAGGTTTCTGGCTAGTCCATGGGTAACACTTCTTTAGTATCAATGCAAGGTCTTCCCTTGGCCTGACAAGCCCTGATGCCAGCCTGGGTTCTTGGCCGGCCGTCATGAAAAATTCATGGTGTGTGGAGCTGGCTGAACTGGTTTCTCTATGGGGATTTTTTGTTCCGGGCTAAGACAAGATTCAGGGATTTGGAGGAATGATGCTATCACTCAGGGGGGAATCGACTTGGAGGGTCTCCTTTTATGTCTGGACCGATGGGAGGGCACAGACTCTAGAGAATGTCAAGTGGGCCATTGGAATGAGGTTTTCTGGGCAATTCACTTGCAGTGGATTGGACGCTCTTCAATGCTGATTGTTTTAGTGTTAATGCCAAATGACACCTCCTTCCAATGACACACTGTTCAGCTTTTTTGTGTGTTGGATTTCAGCTTTTTTTTCAGCTTTTCCCTCACTTGCTGTGTACAAAAGTATAGGAGATTTTCAAAGTTCAGCTTTTTTTACACCTTTTTCAACTGTTTTCAGCTATTTTTATTAGTGGTCACTCACACTCCTGATGACAATCTGGCTTTTTTTTTCTTCATTTCCTTAAAATTTAGGGAACCGCCAACGTAGGGCTGGATAGCTCAGTTGGTAGAGCACCGGAACGGTAATCCGGAGGTTGCAGGGTTAAGCCCCGCTCCAGTCGATTTTTTTTTTTTTTCAACTTTGAAAATTATAATAATGAGCCTACAGTTTGCCTTGTGGTTTCTGTCAAACTTTAGTTAAATTACAATGCCAGATTTTTTTCTGCCATCGGACAAAATCTGTACTTTGGAAATATCTTGAATTTTCCTTTCAAGATTGATGTGATTATTTGACGCTACCCTTTAAACTCACCTATAGGCCTATGTGGCCTGTGTATTTTTTCTCCTTCAACTGACCTCCATCTTCAATGCCATGAAAAATTTATAATTTACGTCACACTACTTTGGAACCTACTGCATTGAGTTTGCCTGTGTCTTATCAAAGACTTAAGAAGCCGAAGGTGTGAAATGCTACTCGGGAAGTGAGGGGATCTGGTAACAGGTCCATGCATGCAGCAAGTGATACGGCCGAGTGTCTAGGGAATGCAAGCATTAGGCTGAGGGGGGCATATCAGGGTACCAAGGGAGACCGACTTGACAGACAAGATCAGCTGGTTTCTGTAAACAGTACTTCACAAATTATTTCGCTTTGATGAACATGTTAAGTAGCAATTAGTTCAAGGAAAAGGAGTATCTGTCCTATTCTCACACAGGATATTTTAGCTGTCTAGACAGCTAAAATTAATGGAGTCTGGTCTTTGGAAAGATCTTGAGGACGGGATCCTCCAGGGGAATACAAAAAAAAAAGGAAGTTTCAAAATGGTCATTAACTGGTGCCTCTGATCTTCTAGGTCTGTTTGTTTTATCATACGCTTGTTGTTAGTGACAAAAACACCATGTGTCCGTATGTATACATAACATTAGGTAGATTCATTATAAAAACATGTTTCCTCATAGAAAACTTCGTCAAACCAGCGTTCCATCTAATTACTCCAACACCAACCTCCAAATTGAAAGATAATGCATTTACATATCTAATGCATAATTTAAGTTATACTGTGGTGCCAGTACATTTCAATGTACGATGTACCTATCTGTGGCTGTTCTAAAAATAACAAGTGTAGAGATTGATGAAGCGTTCATTTGAACACACCCTGACTTAATGTCAGCACAGAGATAGATTCATAAAGATGCGATTGAAACAGAAAAGCGTTAAAGCAAATTGTATCGCTGAAGCTCTGCCTCAGATAACATTACCGTTTGTATTATGCACCCAGACTAAAACTGGCAAGACATAAGTTTTGTCATTTAAAGGGAATATACAACATTTGCAAACATCAAAAAATGAAACTACCAAGTTTTTACGAAATACCTTACTAGAATGTTGGTAAATGACAGTCTAAAGCATCCTGTAAAATTGTGGCACCTGCTGTTAAGTCATTTTCAAGAAAATGGTATTTTTGTATACATTTCCAACGGTGGTCGGCCGACCACCGTTGGAAAAACCTAATTATTTTTCAACTACTGCTCCAACTTAACACTTTTTTCAGTCCAAATTTTGTTTGCTATTGGTTACATGTTCATGAACGGGTGCAGGCCAGCTAGACTGGTTCCCTTACCTTACAATTTTCCGGCATCTATAAATTGATCTATTTTATCTTTAGTGGAGTCAAGGAACCAGACTTCTTGAACATTTTTGTTTTTCTTGGTTTTTCCAGCATTTTCGAACACAAAACTTCAAACATGTCAGTGTAACAATATTTGATCTATTATACTAACCCCTCAAATAGTTCATTTCTGAAAATTACAGCAAAATCCAATGATGTACATTCCCTTTAAGATGAGGGTATTGTATTGTATACAAATGTTCATATATATGGTACATTCCAATTAAGAACATCATGAGATCTAAACTAGTAGGAATATGAGAAAACGGGACTCCTGGGAACAGTTTACATTTAATACGGGAGCTAAATTTGTAATTTTTTTTAAATTCTTTTTAGAAAAGAGGGATTTTACTCACACAGAACGCTGGACAATTTTACAATGTGAAGACAAGAATAATAAAATTTGGCTCAGCTTTTGAACAAATATTGGTCTACGTAGCTTTTGGTTCAAGTAAAGACAAGCCAACCTTTGAAGTCTCGCAGTACAGTTAACAAGATTGTACACAGACGTTCACTTATTAATAGGTATACATGTTCAGTTGGGTAACATGCGCACTTGGTAACAAACTGAGTATACTATTGAAAGCGCAGCATCCCGCTAGCTAAGTGTCTTACAAATGATCAGTGCGCCCTGAATTGACGCATTTTTTAGTCGGGTTTTGAAATGCATATCGTACAAATTCATAGAATTCGGAGGTAAAAAAATCCCATGGTACATTGTATTTAAAAGTTATTCATCAGTGCGCGCGTATCGGTAAAAGATCAGTGGCGGAAAGCTGGATTTTGTTGTGATAACTTGTGAATAGAGAATACAAATTACGTGAAATTTGCACAGTTTACTTTATTCCCATGTTATGTATAATAATAAATGGAGCAAGCCATATGTTTGAAATATTTTTTTCTAACTTGTTCACTTTCTTCTTTGACTCGCCGTGTAGAGGAAAAGATACACAGCATGTCAGCATGGACTGAGTCCAATGTGTTGATGTTTCATTAATATGCAAATCCACAGTGTCTGAAGGGAGTCTTTGTACCTTATCAGCGTGGTTTTGTTTTGATTATCTGCTATTACAAACTTCAGTAAGATAAAGATGATTGCTACAGAGTTATTGAGTGACAAGTACATGAAAGCTTATATTTGCACATTCAAATTCAAGCACAAAAACAAATCTGATGGATATGGCAAAAAAAATATATTTCTGCTTCCGATTACATGGCATTTGATTATAGGGTAGGTAAGGAATTTTTTTTTTTTTTTTTTTTGTAGTCAAGGGTAAAAGGTAGAAAATGATGGTTTTGGGTGTTTTTTCCTCATTTTTCCCATTAAAAAAAAATAGGGTAGGGGCTGTCAGAATAGGGCACCGGTAGGTAGGGAAACCGGAAGCAGAACTATTTTTTTTGCCTAAGTATCTCAGTTGTCCAGTAGAAATAATTCAATAACTCTTCTGAACCATTCTGCATAGATAACATTTAAAGATGTCCGTTGGTGGAAGGTTTAAAAACGTCATTTTGTGTTGGGCAGAGCACAGATAAATGACCACCCACCACCAGTGCACTGAACAGATGCACACATCAATTTTTTTCTGTAATGATCCACATGTTGATTTTTCACTCCGTCATGAAAATTTAAAAAAAAAAAACTCAGTCGGTTGGCTGTTTTTTCCTCCTTATTTTCTCCATAATTGAGTAGTTCTAGTATTCTTTAGATGTTCTGAACAATTGGGGCTTCGCTTCGTGGAATGGAACATTCCATCTGTCATTCCATCTGTCATTCCATCTGTTGGTGTCTTTCATTTTCACAAATTCTTGAAATTTTACAGGCCGTTTTCTCAGTATTTTAATTTTTGACATGTCGATAAATACGAACTTTGAACAGCCATAACTCGTTTTTCACTTCAAACTTATGCCTTCAAAAATTGAAAACCACTGTATAAAGTCCTGTACAGCTTGGACTGTCCTCCGTTTGGTTACTACTTACTTCCCAGTTGTATGCCTGATGTATTTTGTGTTGCAATTATCCAAATTTAAATTGATTTTTGTCTCAGATATCATGCACTTTTACTAATTGACATAAGCCTGTTTGGTATGCCTTACAAACGTACCATTTCGTTTCTCAGTGGAATCAATTTGTTGCTCTCAGATCCAAGGTTAGAAATGCCGCTAATGCATTTTCACAACTATGACTTAATTGTATTAAAACAGCAAATTTACCCTTTTGCAGGGATCCTCAAATTACAAATGTTTTAAGTGCATAAAAATTACAAGAAATTGTTGTCAGCTCTCTTGGACAAATGAGACACAGCAACATTGCCAACTGAGACGTAAAGGGTGTATGTGCACATACATGAAAATTAACAGAGAGAGAAAATTACAGCTCCAGGAAAATGTGCCCCTATCTTCTCTTGAATTCGGCTGCAGGGCATTTTGCCTCATTAATATCCTCCAAAGCGGAGAGTAATTATTCACTTCATCAGGCCCCACTGTCTTCATCACATCCATGTACCAGTGTATTGAGTTTCACCGTTGGCTGCGTTGGGGGAGAAGGGGGGGGGGGATATTTTGCTCATTGCATACCCTGCCAGGGGAAAGTGACATGGCCATACATAATGCTGCCGGCCAGACAAGAAGGCTTGTGTGGATCTCGGCAGATCATAAAAAAAAACTCGTTAAAGAGACACTGTATGGGCTCAGTTATTGTCCTAGAAACCATGCACCTGGTAAAGTAGACACTGTCTGTTGTTTTGTTAGTTTTCGGGATATTCATGTAGATTTACAGTGCTAGGATGATGAAAAATGTCCCGAAAACTGGGCAAATATGGACCGCTGTGAAACAAGTGGATCCACCTCTGTTTTTGAAACCTGACACGACGCCTCATGTTGAACAGTAATCCCTGCGATGTTTGGCAGGATCGGTGTCATGTCCGAAAACACGAAAGCAAAAAAGGGAAGACGCCAATCTTCTGGTTATCTTTCTGGAAACCTGATCTCACATACAGATGCATCCATGGCATGTTTGGAAAAACCTGCATAATTACTTGACTCTTCAGTACTATAAGCCTCACTCCTTAAAGAAATTTCTTCAAAAATCTTCCTGTGCATATATTATATTCAAAGAATCTAATGCCAAAATACCTCAAAATACAATGCACTTTAGTCATTATGCAATTTATATTCTGCATGAAAAATGAATTGTATGGCTACAATCTGAATCCCCAGTCCCCCCCCCCCCCAAAAAAAAATCCACCATGTAACATCTTATTATGGCTATGAGTGATTTGTGATGGTTTCGGAAGCATTGGAAGAATTTTTAATCTGTGATAAATGTTCAATTTTCACAACTCTTTTGATTCTTTTTATAAACAGTAATCAAGAAGTTTACCTGTGAAAGGAATGGACTAATGTTTGGGGTGCTGTGGTCCAATGGTTACGGTGTTCGACTCGTGTGCCGTGGTACATGGGTTCGAATCCTTACCGTGGGAACATGGTGCTTGTGCTCTTGAGCAAGGCACTTTACCATTATTGCTTCGTCCTTCGGATGGGTAGTAAAGCCGTAGGTCCTGTGTGTTGTGTAATGCACATAAAAGAACCCAGTAACACTTATCGCTAAGAGAAGGGGTTTGCCCCGGTGTTTCTGGCAGTGGCTGCAATATGCGCCGCAGCACCTTGCAAACCCTTATAAGGTGCTACATAATGGGTCTCATATTCTCATAAACTTTATTTACCTTTCTTTAATAATAGACATATCTCCAGCGCCTTAAGTACCTAATAGATGGTAGATACATGCGCTATATAAGACTCTGATATTATTATTTTTTTTAAATTTTATAACCAGTGGCTTGTTCTCACTGTGTCTGAAATGTTCCGTTATTTCCTGCATGTTGCATGACTCATGCCTTCAGAACTGATGATAAAATGTAGGGTGTCATGTTACTCATCAGTGACTTTGCCCAGAGCTGTACACCATCCTTTTAATGTGTTCCCTAGGCTATGTGGTTTCATTTCTAACAAAATCTGCCCCTCTGTTGCCATGGTGAGGGAGACAGTAGGGCTCTGTGTTTGCAATACACAGGAAATGTTTACATGTACATAAACATGTATGGACATGGGTCGTTTGCATGAAGCACTTTTCAACAAATCAGGGCCCAATTTCATAGCACAGCTTAACAGTAAGCAGAAAAGTTGTGCTTACTATAGCAGAAAATCATGCTGCTGCTTAAGCACTATTTCATGCTAACGGTTGTGCGCGCATGGAGATTTCTATTGTTACGTCACTGATTTAAGCAAAGTTTTCTTCTGGGGTTAAGCGTGCTTTTGCTGTGCTTACTGCTTAACAGTCCCTATGAAATAGATGGAGGCTCGGTAAGCACAAAGTTGGCTGTTAAGCAGCGCTATGAAATTGGGCCCTGATCATGGGGGGGGGGGGATCTTTTAATGGGTGATGAGTGACATTGGTGATGTTTCAGTGGCCTGCCTTGTGCAACATGTATTGCGCTCCTACATGTATATTGTTACAATGATGTTATCGATTGAGGAGTTTAATACTGACTACCTCTCCTTCACTTTGTCTCCGAGTTGCAGACACTTTAGTGTGGAGTGAAATATAGCAATTTTCCCAGCTCTTTATGTGTATATATTTAAATTTAACAAAGAATAAAGCAAACATTTGTATTTTAGAATTTTTAGGAAACAATTTGTGAGTTACTTTTGCCTTTTTCCCCAAACATGCACACATACATTTGTTATTCCAAATGTCATTTTAATGTGTCTGTTGATAATACCCATGTGACTGCATGCACCAAAGAATCCTTTGTTCATAGCTACTAACTTTGGAAACTAGAACATAAAATTCCAAACACATTTGGGAAACAAGTTGAATTTCCAGGCACCAGATAATCTTATGAATGTTTAACATGAGCCAGCCATGAATTCCATGGTTACCAGCCACTGAGTGAAATGCATGCTTCTGCTGCAGTAGTCATGTGTAAACATTTTCCAGGCCTCTGTCCACACAGGTGTGCCTACTACATGTAGGCCTAGTTCCCCCCCCCCTTCCCCGCCTCTGCATGTAGATGTATGTTCTAGTTATTGTTTTTAGGTTTTTTGACATTCTAAGAATGGAGTGGCATGTATTTTTTTTGGGGGGGGAGGGGTTGAACAATGAGCAGTAAACCAATTTTCTATGCATGTAGCTTTTTGTGTTTTGGACGTACATGTAATTATGAATCTTTGAAAGTGATGCACAATCTGTACAGGGGTATTATGGTTTCTGGTATGGAGCTTGCCCAAAAAGTGGTGCGGCGACGCGGCCTTTTTTTTTTTTTTACCTGATTTTTTTGCTTCAAATGTCGGCTGATGACTGCAAATGGTGCCCGACTAAACTTAGTGCAAAAATATGGGAGTCCAGAGAGGCCACATAAAGCTTATTCTCGACCATAACCCAATCTAAAAACACGTTAAAATTGTGCAGCAGCAGGATTCTAGTCAAACCAGTGAGTTTGGCGGTTTTGAGACATCATCTTTCATTGAAAAAAAACCTTTTTCATTTTGCCGACGCACATGGCTACGACGACGCGCGCGCATACCAGAAACCGGAGACTTTTTTGGGGGGGCCTTATCTGGAAACCCGTCAAGGCGCCTACTCACAATCAATAGTCACGCGCCAGTCTAAGTGAAATAACTATTCAAGTAAATGACATTTTACTTCTCTTTTGAAGATGTCCAGGAATGTTATAAAACAATATTTAAACATTCTGGATACATGTTAGTATATTCCAAGGTAAATAATTCTCAAGCACATGAATGCAGTAACATGTGGCGTATATTGTAGCAAGTGGCTGTGGCCATTTTGGTCACACGGTGTAAGGGAAGGATACCTTCATGCAAGGGGTAATTATTACTATTATTAACCCTAACACCCTCAGATGTATAAAAACTATTACAATTGGAGGATTGTTAGGCTTAAGAAGTAAAAAAACATCACACAAGTTGACCATGGGTTGACATATTTGAAGAACATATCACTTCAGTCAACACCTTGCAGTCTCCACGCTAGCCTACATCTCAACTTACACTATAATGATTACTCCAACTTACTTTACATTCTCAGCCCCCCCCCCAAAAAAAAAACCTCTCCCCAACAGAACATCAGGACAGCACCAACTGAAAGTACATGTAACTTTAAATTCATGCTGAGGAGTTATTAGACATGATGCACTTCCTCTTTAATAGTTTGATTTATTATTCAACTCTTGTTTTACTGTAGAACACTGCAACCATATGATGACTACTGCTGTACCAAACATTTAGCTTCAACAAAACTTCACTTTTGCTCCCCAATTTATACAGAGAATTAATAGCAACAACTTGCTACAAAGCATGAAAACTATATCAATCTTGTATGGACCCCGTTGTGTTCATTATCGTGACAATGTATATAATGCTGGACCTAGAAAGATGCTAAAGGGCCAGCTCATTGCCATATGACCGACTGATGACTGACTGGGACAATTACTGACTGACTCTGGGTCTGGCATAGTAGGCAAGCCGATTCTTGTATAATTTGTGTCAGGCATTTCATTCTCTGCAGTTTAAAAACTTGTAATTATTCTTATTAATGAGATTTGAAGGTTTGCATGGTGGAAAGATACTAAGACAAGATAAGTTTGCAGTAGCACCATGTGAATAAATCTCTTTTGTGAGTATGTGTGGTTCTGAAAAGAACCGGAGGGACTCAACGTTTCGAATAGTATGCTCTGCCCGTCGTCAGGAGAATGAGGGATTTTAACGATGATGCGATGTTATAAGGATGAGTGCGGTGAGGCTTATTAATGTTACAACTATTGTTGTTCTTTTTTTCCTTTCTCTACTCTTCCAGCAATCTCTTTAAACACCAGAAGCTCCTCTCCATCCTAGAGGGAGTCCCACCCCCGGCTGTGGTTGCCGGGGCCAACATGAGACGGGATGAGCCTAATGTCCCCGGTCTTCAGGAGGATGTCCACTGGGATCCCCGCAACTCGGGCAACATGGTGGTCTCTGACAACTGGAGCACTGTCACCCTTCTGGCCTTCGTCTCAGGTTTCCTAGTGCTCGGGTTCTTTGTCAACCTCCTGTACCGAAGCCGACGAAAACGGAAACAGGCTGTCACGTGGCGCAAGAAACCCACGAGACTTATACGCAGGACCAAATATACAAGAGTTCCCGCTGTATAGCATTGGCAGTAGTGCCGTGTGTATATAAATTTGTAAGATACGGTATTTTGTATTATGATTTATTTGTATGTTGTGTCGAGACATTTGGTGCCATTTCGCAGTATCAGCACCCTTTGTGAACTAGTCCAACTGAATGTGCACTCAGTGTCATTTCAGTGTACTGCCTGTGTCAGTACTTATTGAACGTGCACTCAGTGTGTGCTCTGTGCTCTGTGCATTCACTCAAAGTCAACTCAGTGCACAATCATTGCATACTGAGTATGGACCCAATGACCACTCAGTGTTCATGCACTGAATACTCAGTGTGCACTCTGTGCTCTGTGCGTGCACTCAAAGTCAACTCAGTCTACAATCATTGCATACTGAGTATGGACCCAATGACCACTCAGTGTACATTCACTGAATACTCAGTGTGCACTCTGTACTCTGTGCATACACTCAAATTCAACTCAGCGTACAATCACAGCATACTGAGTATGAACCAAATGACCACTCAGTGTACATTCACTGAATACTCAGTGTGCACTCAGTGCATGCACTCAAAGTCAACTCAGTGTACAATCACAGCATACTGAGTATGGACCCAATGACCACTCAGTGTACATTCACTGAATACTCAGTGTGCACTCTGTACTCTGTGCATGCACTCAAAGTTAACTCAGCGCACAATCATTGCATACTGAGTATGGACCCAATGACCACTCAGTGTACATTCACTGAATACTCAGTGTGCACTCTGTACTCTGTGCATGCATCAAAGTTAACTCAGCGCACAATCATTGCATACTGAGTATGGACCCAATGACTACTCAGTGTACATTCACTGAATACTCAGTGTGCACTCTGTACTCTGTGCGTGCACTCAAAGTCAACTCAGTGTACAATCATTGCATACTGAGTATGGACCCAATGACCACTCAGTGTACATTCACTGAATACTCAGTGTGCACTCTGTACTCTGTGCGTGCACTCAAAGTCAACTCAGTGTACAATCATTGCATACTGAGTATGGACCCAATGACCACTCAGTGTTCATGCACTGAATACTCAGTGTGCACTCTGTGCTCTGTGCGTGCACTCAAAGTCAACTCAGTCTACAATCATTGCATACTGAGTATGGACCCAATGACCACTCAGTGTACATTCACTGAATACTCAGTGTGCACTCTGTACTCTGTGCATACACTCAAATTCAACTCAGCGTACAATCACAGCATACTGAGTATGAACCAAATGACCACTCAGTGTACATTCACTGAATACTCAGTGTGCACTCAGTGCATGCACTCAAAGTCAACTCAGTGTACAATCACAGCATACTGAGTATGGACCCAATGACCACTCAGTGTACATTCACTGAATACTCAGTGTGCACTCTGTACTCTGTGCATGCACTCAAAGTTAACTCAGCGCACAATCATTGCATACTGAGTATGGACCCAATGACCACTCAGTGTACATTCACTGAATACTCAGTGTGCACTCTGTACTCTGTGCATGCATCAAAGTTAACTCAGCGCACAATCATTGCATACTGAGTATGGACCCAATGACTACTCAGTGTACATTCACTGAATACTCAGTGTGCACTCTGTACTCTGTGCGTGCACTCAAAGTCAACTCAGTGTACAATCATTGCATACTGAGTATGGACCCAATGACCACTCAGTGTACATTCACTGAATACTCAGTGTGCACTCTGTGCTCTGTGCATGCACTCAAAGTCAACTCAGTGTACAATCACAGCATACTGAGTATGGACCCAATTACCACTCAGTGTACATTCACTGAATACTCAGTGCGCACTCTGTGCTCTGTGCATGCACTCAAAGTCAACTCAGTGCACAATCATTGCATACTGAGTATGGACCCAATGACCACTCAGTGAACATTCACTGAATACTCAGTATACAGCTACATTGTACTTCTACTGGTTTGCACTCAATGTCATCTTGGCATGCATTCACTGTACAATGAGTGCATGTACATGTACATGTTCATCATGCACTCAGTGCATAAAGTACAACAAGCACACGATGATCACTTGACTGTGCATTCAAAGTCGATGCACTTAACAGTCATAGGCACTCTCAATGCTTGCTGCACTGTCGTTGTCCGCTCGATGCCCCCCGGATGTGCACTTCATCTGCCATCCATGAATAGCTGATGAATCGAATCGGTCATGGGTCAAGTGCTGTCACTTGATAATCCCAGCATAACAAGTGGTTATATGACACCCAAGTTATAAAAGGTACTGCTGGAACAGTGCTCGGAGACAGTTACAACAGAACGCAAACTGAATTCCAATGAATATTTAAATGTTCAGCATTCCAAAGGCCTTTAAAAAATAATGTGGAAATTGAGACTCAAGTTTGTGCAAACATTATACATGTACAGATATCGCGTTTGTCTTGTTCGACTCTATAAATTTGTAGATCTTTGGATCTAAACACAGGGTACCAGGGGGTAGATGCCCACCAGTAACCTACCTTTTAATGTGAATATTCCACAATTTCATTTGATTATAAATTCCCTTTCATTAGTGCTGCTATCTGCTCAGGTCAAGTGAACAGTCCACCTTTCTACCTCTTTGGATTTTCCAATGCCCCCCCCCCCCCCCTTAAAAAATATAAAAAAACGTCACACGTTGCGCTGTTTGCGTAGAGCAAAATGAAACGCTCATTTGCTGATCGTGCGTTTTGGTTTTGGGCGTATCGGCTTCGATGATGCACCGGTATGGAATACAAACGCAGATATGCAAATAGCCATACAAAAGCCGTACACAATTTCTAGGTCTCCATAGGTTTGTGCACAAACATGGATGTGCCCATCAGGTATTACTTTGTACATCGAGTTAGCGCTCTAGTAATTTAATATAGCTCTATGCTTGTGAATGACTTGTGTTTGACTTGTCAGGATTTGACTTCAACTCTGGTGTAAACACGTACATAACTTTGTAAAAAGCAAGTTAATATAATGTATTCTAAACTTTAAGGGCAACGAATTGAAAGTTTTTATTTATTTCAGACCCTTGGAATACAGAATGTATTACTGGAGGTATTCCAATCTTGTTCCTTCATCACTAATTGATTACAAGTTGTGGCGACTAATCATCGACTCCTTCCATTTTCATCCAACAAAATTCTGCAGATTCAATTAGGGGACGGGATTTCTCCAGCCGTTTCTTTCCAAATGAAATCAGCGTCCCATGTATTTGGCAGTTGTCTCCTGTGATAGTTGCATAAATCATTCCTGAGCCAGCCAATTGGATTACACTTTAGTGTGCTGGATTGGATTATTAAAAAAGAGCTGATGATCTCGGAATCGTGATCTTCCTTTGCACTGTATGTGGACGGATTAAATCTGACACGACTGCTGTTCCTGGGTTCAGAAAAGACACAGTGCATTTGGTGTATGAGGATTAGGCAGCAGCGTGCCAAGGCAACTATTTATTTACTTGGATGTTTTGGACGCTGAGACATCCAATATGAGATGCACTTGCAACTGATGTATGGCTGTAGCGGCTACTATCCTTGCACTGTATCATTCATGTTCAAGTCCGTGCTGCTATCGTGATGCATTGCAATAAATGTCTGTATGTTAAACTCCCAATGGCGCAACCAGTAGGGGATTTGGACATGTCTGTTTCTGTGTTTTATTGTTTCTGTCTTCAGAACTTGATACTACATAAATCAGAAACAATGGGAAACACTTTAAAAAACAAAATTTTAATTTGTTTTTTTTTAGGGGGGGGGTAAAAACGGTGAGTTAAGTTGATATAAAATTGTGAGTGCGTGGGAGTACAAATGCCTGATAACTTGAAGGATATTTTTTGAAAGCTTTTAAAACCCTTCTCATTGTTTTGTAAAATAAAAATTAGCAACCTGAGCAGGCAGTGTTTTTGACTTGATCATGGTTTATTGGTGCGTTTGAAACATGTACATGTATGTATTCCAAGTAAACTCGGGGCTTTCTCTGAATTATTTAAGGTGTTCAAACTCTACCTTAATGAACACTGTTCTTGTCTCAGAAATGATATATATGTATGACAATGAGGGACTTGATTTAATAGAATAAATACATGTACCAATCAAGGCATTCTTTCATAGGAATCTTTAGTGTGATATTCGGCAGAAACAGTTTGACATTTATTCACAATGTTACTTGAGAATTATTGTTGTAAATACTGATTTTCCCCCCCCCGAGTAATAGCTCATATTCATTAGTACTGATTTTTTTTCTGCTTGATTGGTTGGTTTTTCCTGATTGTATATCAAACCTTCTACTGCTGCTATTAATTATTGGTGATTTTTTAACACTTTGGTGACAGGATGTACATATAAAATCAAGTTGTATATTTTGTCCATTTGTACGATTATAGAAGACAAATAAAGTTTATTTACCACGGTAAGGAATAACACGATGGTCTGTGAAAGTGTGATTTATCTAACTTCGCTCTCCTTTCCCAAGTTCCAAATTTGAAGAAAAAATCCAAATGGCAGAATAAGACCTATTTATAACAAAACCCCCCAAAAATGGACATGCACACTTTTCACGTGTACGACTGGCTGCATCTGTCGAGCGTTTGTCATTCGTCACTTAATACTTAATTTTCTCATGCCAGAATTTCGCGTGACACTCAGATTTCACGACAAGCATAATTAAACACATTCACTCCTTGTTGGTGGGACGCAAGTAGAAACTTCTGTGAAAAATTCCCAGGCATAATGTCCACAATTGGAGCGCGTCTCGATCGATCTTCATTACAGCTGATTATAGTGACTCGTTGCCAGGACAACCGCTGTGTTACCATTGTTACCCTTGCCATTATGTGTGTGGAAAACAGCATGCGTTGCTTTTTTTTTCTCGCATGAAATTTTCTGTCGTTTGCCTCATAAACAGACTTACATTTTTTGAAGCTGTGAATTTACTTTTATTTATTTCAATTGAAAAGAAAAAATATATAATTATTTTTATATTCAAGGCCAAAAAACCCCAGGGGAGTCGGGTTGGCATAGCGGTTCTTTCCTCGCCTTCCACCGCTGTGACCCGGGTTCGAATCCCGCCTGGGTCAATATGTTGATTGGGTTTTCAGTCCCTGCCTGATTCCGTGGGTTTTCCTCAGAATATTCCTCTGGGCTTTTCCTCCCACCTCTAAAACTGTAATTTCTTCTCATTGTCTTCTCTCTACAGGTTTCTTCAGGCTTTCGAGCTTCAGTGCTTAGGGTACTTTTGAGGAATCCTTGGTTTCATTACCAGAAATAAATAAATAAATAAATTAAAAATAAATAAATTAAAAATAAATAACACACAGCTAATTTCAAGTGTTATTTTTCAATTCTCGAAGATCTTGATTTCGGATCGATACAGTTAACTGATGAGGATTTCCTCAATTAAATACTTTTCCATCGACTCCACCCTTTCTGATATCTCAACGTGCAGATACAGCAGTCGGAATGTCGATGTTTGTGGAGGTAATTCAATTATGATTCAATGCTCAGGGTTGGTTTATATGCAGTATTTACACAGAGGAATCAATCCTTGGCTGAAATGATCTGAACCCATACTCATGAACTGAGTATAGCGACATGGTAGCTAATAAAGTTATAACATTATTCACTTAGATGTACTGGAAGCACAGTAATTAAATAGACGATAAATGGATCTCATGGGCAGGAGGAGTGTGTTATATTTTAAGAACGAGTGATCTGCCTGGGCGTTGTCAGGAATCTGAAAGCATGATTATTTGGTCTACATTAAAAAGTGTTTCAATACGAAGTTAACAGAGTTGTCGCTGCCAGCAGTTCATGCAATACAAACATCAACCAAACTTGCTATGTACAGTAGTTACACAATGTTGCGTATCGTGACCCATCTTAGATCTTGCCCAGTTGGGGGCGAAGCTCGATTAAACCAAAAAAAACTGGGGGTGTAAACAATAAAAGCTCATAAAAACGGTATTTAACATCCATTTTCCTTGTTTTCCTATGCTTTGAAATACACTGAAATATAAAATAAGACATTCTCAGCCTTGTGGTTGCGAAGGCTTTGCGTCAAGCGTTGTTAAGCAGATTTGATCCGATTGCGTACGGCCGATGACGCTAAAAATAGAGCAGTGAAATCAATGCACCCCCCCCCAAAAAAAAAACATGGCTTTTTTAACGTTCAGCTTTTCATAATATATGCTCAGTATGATTGAAATGTTACATTATAACAGAAGAAGAAATTCTAAACTTTATGTCTGTGAAAAAAAAATCGCCGTTATTGATGCCGAAACGTCAATACTGGTCACTGGTAAAGCTGACCTAAAAGTCGTGGAAATATCGTTCGAAAAGGTCCCCCAAATCTTTTTACCAATTCTGAGCATTTTGGATGCAAAATTATTGGGCTCGAAAGTGGCGCGATTTTTGCCATATTGTGGAGGGATCGTTTTTCTAGATGGCTACTTTTCCGCTTTGGGGAAAATAGGGGCCGTCCTCTTTGGGTGAGAATATCTCAAAAACTCAAAGGTCAACCCACCAAGAAATGAATGGAAAATGAAAGATGACATGTTTCATCATAATTTTTCTGTGCAGCTTATATACCTGTGAGAGTTCTGAGTATTTTTAAAAGAATTTTGAAGTACGGGCATTAAGCACTAGTGTCTATGGGAATTCTAATACAAGGCTGCACCCTTAAAATGATTTCTAGCCCATTTTGACCCCACATGCCAAATTCCATGCTTTTAAAACAAAGTGCAAGAATTGGGCCAAAAATGGACCTAAGCAGCTCCACTATAAACACATCCATCGGAGTCTGCTTGGGCATGGCGAGGAGAATCAACAAAAGCCAACAAAATAAATCTAAAACAGCCGGAGAAAGATCTGACCAGTCCCGTAATTTGCAAAAAGCGTAAAAATGAAGCAAAGACAATCACTGCTGAAGGCTAGAAAGCTGTCAATCATTGCACTGATTGCTCTGGGCAGGGACCTTAACTTTATTCCCACCCTTTATAGAAACCTAAAAGGTCGACCATCCTTCGCTATTCCCACTCATTCTTCATAAAGAGACTTCGTTTAAAGATGGGAGGGATCAGTTCGACCGTCGGACTCGCATCCATTCAAACTGCTGATGCCGATAACAAATCCTCATTTCCTTCCCCTTTAAATCAATTTTAATTCACGTTGGCAATTTTCTTATTTTCCACCAATTCCATGATTTTTGACTGGACGTACCGGTTCTTTCTCGCATAAAACACTTCTCTCTCTCTCTCAAAAAAGGCAATGTTTGACAACATCAATCACCGGTGGCGGCCCCCTAAAAAAACATCCCCGTCCCGTAAACTGAACGTAATGACATGATCAGGGTGTCATTTTAAAGAGGAGATTCAACCCTAACAGAGGATATCTCCCTTTGATTCACATGTGCCCTACTTCTGTTCCAATTAGCAATACTATCTCGGTTTTTTTTTATCCACCCCGTAGTGTCAAATCTATAGTCAGTGACGTCCTTAAGGAAATTGTTCCCTATTTTGAAGTTTTCTTGATAAGCCATGGTAAAATCTGTATTTGAAGCAATGTGACAAGACATAACGTGAGCAGGGCACCTGGGAAGGATTTACCTATATATATTGTTTTGCCAGCGTTTTTACCGGCATGAATGGTTTACTTTGACAACAGAAAGGATACACGTCAGACACGGAATATGAAAGTCTGAAGAATTGACAATGTCTTTAATTTTGCCAAACCAACAGCGAAAAGGCAACGGTGTTGTTACTAGGGAAACATAGCCCCTGGGTCGACAAAACAAAAAGTTGAAAAGTGAAGGATTTAAGAAATACGTTCTACTGTGTGTACCTCATCCTGACGTCACTACTGGCATTTCTTGCTGCAGTTCTTCTGCCCGAGTAGCTCGTAGGCCTACACATAAATAATATTGTTTTCCTCTTCTGCAAGTAGTGCACGTGTGCCTAGGTTGCTGAATGATAGCACCGTGAATCTTTGGAATTTGTCCCGTGATAGAAAGTGATATATGTTATGTGCTTACTTTTATACTGTGCTATTCTGCTATAATTATTTTAATAAAGGAATCATGACTGCCTTTTTCTGTGCACACGGACCTCGACGACCAGTTTCACAAAGCCTTTGTCACTGTTGATAAAAATCCAATAGTTTACTTACTTTTACTCGAATACAATAAGCTTCAATAATTATATAGCAAAAAGTACATTTTACGTCGTAATATCATACAATCACTCGTAAAAATACACTAATTTCTTCATTTCCAACTCGTCTTGGTGAATGACATGCTGAACCTGCAGTCGAACATTTCTTACTGCCGTTAAATTCTCATTGGTTTTTTTTTGTCCTTTAAACGAACATCGTGTTACGACAAGTCCAAACTTACAACAGATTGGGATGTTCAGCGTCAGGTTGTGCAATGAAAGATCATTATACGCCTATCTGATATTCCAGTATGTTTAGTTATGGCGGTTTGTAAAACGCCGTTTCTTGTCTCTACCTTCGGGCAGGTTTAGCACTCCGTAAAAGGCAGGTTTAAAGTGTGTGTGTGCACTATGCATAAAGCAGTAAGCCACACATCACAATGTACCGCCGTCTAACAGGAAATCCCATTTCTTATGTCTTTTTTGTTTAATTCTCGACATCACTGCACTTTCCAGTGATTGTTGAAGTGATATATATCGGGTGCATGCCTGCTAGTATCGGATCGTATCACGAGCCTATAGAAATTCAATCAAAAAGATATGTCCTACATATCTGGAGGCATATCTTCGTCGAAAGACTCGGCGATAGGCTTTGAAATTTGAATGGTTAGATTGAGTGACACATTTTTCGTTGGATTGTGGAGATAATTATGCAGCATTCCGCACAAAGAGTAATCAGAAGACAACAGGGCCTACATTTTGTAAGCAGCAACATTGACATGAAGAAAATCACGCACTATACATAAATCATGAAAAAATCCCTCTTAAAAATTAAAGGCAAAAAGATGGCGTTAAAAATAGAAAAGGCATAAAATGCAAATTTAGAATGGAATGCTCAATGACAAAATCTAATTGGTTCGGTATCATTAATCTCCTGTTGCGGTTGAAGTGCGGATGAAGTGTAAACGCTAGGTCTGGCTTTATTTGATATGACGAGTATGAATTAGTTCTTAATTAGTTTGCAATATTTGTTTACCACCTGATGCATACAACCGTTCAAGGTAATTTGTTTTATTAGTCAGATGTTGCAAACTTTGGAAACTTAAACTAAAATGTTAAAGATAAACAACGGATTATAAAAAGCTTCAAATAGTGCAGTAAACATCAAAATGGTGCCAAAGGTATAAAATGTATATTAAAGAAACTTTTAAAGAGCAATTTGATGCAATTTCATTTTTTTTAAACACGTTTTAAAGCAAATCAAGATGAAATCCAAAACTAGGAATGTACTGGATTAAATGCAGCATGGATAACAAGATGAAACCATTGAATACCACGGTTCACTTCCGAGTCTAAGATAGAACAGGTTCGAGCACGAGCAGTGTGTTTCGACCACGTGACTATTACAGTTCGGTATACAACGGCCCTAGTCAAACAATAATGGACAAATTGCAAACTGCACCCACATCTTCCGTTTGTTGCATTTCTCATCACTCTCGTGTCTCTCCGTCGGTTCGTCCCTATTGTGCAATTACTTTCAAGTCAGTGGTCCCCTTTGCACTTAATTACGAAACAATTGTTTGGAATCAGTGAAGCAACATTGGCCCCAGTTTCAAATAATCGACTAGCATGGTTATCATACTGCGGTCCGTTGAAGGTAATCGAACTATGGTTAACCACACCTCACACTTGAACTTGCTCTAGATGTCACGCAGACGAGATTGATAAAGACCGATGCTTAATAATGCATAGAAAAGCAGAACGAGTTATCTAAATGAAGATGAACTCACTGTCCGATATAGCCACATGGACATTTTGATATAATTGTGCGTTAGGCGCACTTTTGACAATATAATGCTTATAGCTACTATTTAGATACTTTAGCCTATACTTCCTTCTCAGTCAAGATCAATTTTACACACTTATTGATACTCTTTCAGTATGTTTGTTATATGCTACAATAATATTTTCTTACGAAAACATGAAAACCAACATTACATCAATCAAAGCTATCAGTTATTTTGTAATATATCATATGTAAGTCGAAGGCAAGGTGCTATAATGTTGCTACTTTAAGTGAGTGTAATCGTAATATACCGTACGTGCAGCTATCAACTATTGTATATATCTACCAATGATTCCGAGCAGTCTAGAAGGAATCGGCAAAAATGACGTTTAAAAGGGCAAAAAGGTCAAAGTTTAAAATGTGACTATGCATCATCCGACGTGACGCCGAGGAACATTTTGAGTTCATTCTCTGAGATCATCTGGTCGTTGTTCTTGTCCACCATTGTCAAGATGTCTTTCGCACATCTTGCTAACGTACTCTCCACCATCGGCCCCTGAACATGGACATAATAGGAATATGCATAATTAATTTTAAATGTGCCTAATAGAGTCAGTTCTATGCAGTCTTGTTTAAGTACCTGCACATGCGTAGTTTATGTGACACCGCAAAAGAACGGCACCAGATCGAAGAGTGCAAGAGTTGCACAATTATTGGTGACACAATAATGTGCTCTCATAACCTTACGATGCCATTGATCACTTATCCGTGTCGCACAAAAGGTGCTGATATTTAGATACGATAACGGAATTAAACAGATCATGGCAACAACTTCAGTCATTGCATTTTACTCTTATATCAGTAAAGGGTGTCTTGTGAAATTCTCTTGCGTGGGGATTATGACTGTCTTACCGAATCAGCGTGTAAGATAACCAGGTCCTTGAGGAAAGCCGTCAGTTCATCACCACTGATGACATTGTTCTTATCCTGCGAACAAAATCACCACAGAGAATGACAAAATATCAAAACTGCGACATCAGCAGCATACCATAAATCGCTCTTTAAACTGACACAATAACGCCGTAGCTAAATCATGGGGGTATGTGATGTGCCATTGAAACGGGCCTATGTTTACGGGCTTCGTGAAAATGTGTGTCTGATTTGAATTGTACGGCAAGATTACAAGAAGTACCATTCCGCTACAGATGCACATCAGTAAGGCGGTGATTTCAAATGCTTTGTGTGTCTCTAAACCCTCTTCTATTTGTCAAGTGGCTTAGATCCAAATATTAACAAGATCGTGAGCGACTGGTCAAAAACACCAAACGTGGCAGATAGATTCGTATAGCCCAAGAGCAGATAATTTGGAAGGGGTGTCACCCTGAAATTCTATTGGGAAGGGTGCCTAATTTGCATAAATCAAAAATAGCCGCTTTGTAATATATTTACTTCCATGTTTTGGTATATTTTCAATTTTTTTTCTTCATTTTTTTGAAAATATATTTTGGGGATTCTACTTGCATATCCTTGCTTAAAGAACATTTTCTAAAGCATATTGGATAATTTTGACGAGGACATGTGAAAGATCCAAAATGGCTACCATTATACCCCCAAGGTGCGCACAAATACCTTTTCCCCAGATTTCCCCAAATGGTCTCCAAATCAAGGGGTAAACACGTATTTCACTACGGTTCCTCGAATCAAGGACCAGGCAATATCAAATACTGCAAAGACCATTTCGCTGTGTGTAATCAGGACCACTTTTCGGTCCAATTTGAGGGTCTTTCATACTTTCTAAATTAGCTGTTTCAAAGAGAGACCGATCAAGTATAAGTCATTTAAATACGGCGAATGTACACATGTCTAGTACCTTGTCGTAGTGCTGAAAAACTCTCTTGAATTCCTCATTGGACACCTTCACCTTCTTCTGTTTGCAAAGAAATTGGAAAGTGGGAGTTGAAAACTGAGCAATGTGACCTCAGATCTCATTTTTACAGGACATATTTTATCTTTTTTGTCACAGTCAAAACTAATTTACCAATAAATTCATTATTTTTCATCATTTCTATTGACAAATTGAACATTCCATCATTCATGTTAATTAAGGGTTTCCGTGTCCGTGCACTTGAAACAAATAAAATGCTCATATCGGCCGCCATTCAAGTGACCTTTGACCGGCTCGTTCCATTATATGGAGAGTATAGCTCCGAGTAACTGCAAACACACATGGTGCATCTTGTGATGTGCGACATGCATAGACTATGATGATCAAGGAAAGCTTGCCCGAAGCAATGAAACTGTACTCATGAACTGATGACAGTGGAAATCCTGCGAACAATTGCATAGGGTATACATGTTTACATCCCTGCGGTTGTTTTTCCCTGTACCAAATTCAAATAATCACCCAGTCTCTACGGATTCCTTAGTAGGCCATATCGTAACGATCAGATTTCACTTACCACGACAGCGAGATGGACAATATAGAGAATGAGGTGCATAATAACAACGTCGTGTGGTAGTGTTTATCTACGGTGCTCCCGAAGGGACAACTCTGTTCCATCATTCTCCATTGGGAAGAAGTTTTCATATGAAAAAGGCTGGAGGCAAATAAAGGCCTCCGTATAACCATGCACCTATCTAGCCTCGGGGGTCTGTACTACTAAGTTTGTGCATATACCATGCAGTGGTTTCTAATGTGTTTCGTGATTGAATGTGCAATATTTCAAAGCCTTGAGATGCTTAATGAACCTCGAACTAGGTTTTTCATTTCTACAAAATCAATAATCTCATCTACATTTTTAACCATTTAAGAAATGGCTAGATTGAATGGTTGATATAGATATCGAAGATCACGTCACTGGGACTCATGCAAATGCCGCTTGCGGGATTAAGGGGAAATGGGACACTAACATGCATGTGAACAAAACAAGTAAATAAAAACGAAATGATTGTGATGACGCATGATAATGTAATGCAAACACTTTTCTGAGAAGAGATAATAAAAGAAAAGCAGTGAAAGAAACATAATGGTTGAAGAATTGACGATACTTCGGGCACAGGATACCCATGCAGAGTCTTCGGTAGATGTCAGTGAACTCACGCTAGTGGTACAATCTCGACTGGCAATCTAGTTATTGATCGACCAGCAATAATGGCGCTTCCCCTGTTAACAGCTTTTCCCGGCAGCGTCTTTTTGCTCCTTTTACTGACGCAATCAGTTTGCATCCATTAATTAACAGATCCAATCGTCTCCTTAATGACATTTAACCAAAGTCTGTTAATAACTTGCTCGTGCAACAAGCCTTTAATTATGCTTCTCAAGCATCACTCCTAGATCGTGTCATCAAGGGGGACTTCAGCAGATGTTTAAATGAATAGACTGCCACACATTTGTCATAAATATTTATTCTATGAAATGTCTCCCTTTGCCTTTCTCTCTTCACTGTGGATGCGCCAAGCGTTTTCAGGTCATCGTAATTCATTTATTGTTTGTAACAACATTTGTCAATCATTTGAAAGACTTCATTACACCGTTCTCAATCGGACAATGGTTTCCATTGCGTCAATACCTCCGAAAACGAAGAATGTTTAATGCATTTTATGGTCATCAACTGCACCATGCACTGAAATTCCATAATCCACAAGTGGAGTATAGGGCATCCCCTGCATGCAGAGATATCAGTGAAAGAAACAATAACCCGCCACCTCAGAAGCTGTGAATATTAAATCTACCAATTGCCGCTGCAGTTCCATTTTAGCTTAACGCCAAGTATTAACAAATTCAGGAATCTGGCTGCCTTTTGTATGAACGATCGGAAATGTCGAGCACAAGGTACCCTGTACCCAAAGTATTCGGTTTCGTGTGACGTCCCATCGCAAACTACCTTATGTACTTACGCCTTTCTCTCCCAGAGATCCCTGCGAGTTTGATAAGTGATAGAGCGCCAAACGGACAAGAAGTTGGAATAAAAAAGTAAAAAAAATAACACGAACTATCAATAACTGATGTCAAGCAGGCTCTTAAATGTGAATTATTCCAAATGTTCCTGCAATGTCCCGCTTGTTGTCCAAAAGGGAATGCTCATATATAGCTTTCTAGTGTAATAATTTCTTGGACGAATTTCACAATTTTTTTGGACGTCTTTACGACTGGGTCTGCATGCATGTCCAGGACATGTGCTTACATGCATGCACATGTTCAACTCACAACATGTACATACAATGCTTACTTCGGGGTTAACTTATATCAGATAAGGACCATGCATTACTGTGTGTTCATCAACACAAACTCAGAGGATGTAATTGTATCCTTTTTCATTATTGGGACAACTAGTTCAGAATGTTGCTCTTCTTCCAAATTGGTGATCGCTCAGCCTATAGCAAAACAAAACGTGTGATAATGGGAACATGGCATTGATGATGTCGCAAAAACTCAAGAAATTATTGCAGGATGACGGCAAGCCTACGTGGATAGCTCACTGCTTTCCTGTTACCCTGGTAACAGCTACGTGATCACAACTATTACGTTAATCAACACTAATTAGACTACTGAGTTAGATCTTGCACAGCAACCAAAATCATTTGACATGAAAAACCCGTACAGGACAAATACATGAGCAAGGCTTCATTATTTCTTCTTAAATTATGATTTCCTAAATTAGGTAATGTTTAACAAATAATCACACTCAAATAATGAGATAAGCTTGAGTGAATTTGAGGTATTCTTTGAATCCGAAGTAAAGCGAGTGCTGTTAGTGTCAGTAATTTAAATGACTTTTAGTGATGTAATAATAAAGCGCAATAGACACGAATGAATTTTCGATTAGATGGTTGGGCTGCTTCAAAGATGGCGCAATATTATTAGCAATGCAGAACTCGCAACTTTGCGCATAATTACGACTTTGTTTTCTTCCTGAAATGTAACTGTGTTTGTCAAAGCGTGAGTTGCTGCATTTCTCCTGTATTGGTCACAACGAAAGTAATGCCTTGGGTGTAAACAAATGTGGAACGTCACCAGGTTCAACCTCACGATAGGACGGGGGTCGACAAAGACTTACTGTGGGCAAGAGGTGCGAACTTGGGTCGGGTATGTTACCTTGTAATAGAGACTATTACATGAATATAAAACAAGATATCAAGACAGGTTACAGGATCTTGTGTCTGGTTGGGTGCTTGACGGTGACTTAAACAGATGGGCCAATGGGAAGAAAAGAGAGTCATTCTAAATTCATTGAGGGAGACTAGATCTTTTTGTGTGAGATGGACATTGACAAGGCATGTTTACAAATCCGCCATTTTGGGGCTGAACTGTTAAATTTAACTGGTTTCCCGCACCCTTTATCATAAATCAGCACGTTGATACCTCGCACCAAATGATACTGGTAACACACCATAAGCGTGTAACAATTATGATAACGCGGTACAGTATACCAGCTAAATCGCAGACCCCAAGATGGCTGAAATATGAACAGGCCTAGGCTAAAATACAAAACAAAGGGTAATACCAAAGAAAAACTGAATTGTTTCAGATTTGAGAGATGTGGAAGGTGGTACACGGGGAGCCATTTATCCGAGCGTAAACAGGTATTTCTCTGACCCACCCACCTCGAGCATTGCTTCCAAAAACGAACTCTGAAATAAGAATACTGATGAGTTATTATCAAGTATACGATTTGGGGAGAAAATGGTTTAAAGAAAACTGTTGGGCTTGTTTCTGACAGGCAAAAGCTATTACGAAAACCAGTTTGTGAAGAACGATAACACGGCACAATTGTAATACTACACGTGTTGAGAGCAGGACTTTTTCTGTTGTTGAAAAATGTGTTGTTTTGTTTTGCTTTGCATTGTTTTTGTCGCTTCTGTCAGGTCGAATTCTTCAAACACTTTTTAATGAATGGGAAAATGATCGGACCCCTTTTACTCCCGGTTATACGTTTGTTATTAATACCCTTTAAAATAGGTCACTTGGACGTCACAGAGCTGGAAACGTAATGGCAAATACGAATTACACCGGAATAGCAAAACCTTAGTATATCATTGCCTGAAAGTCTATTGATAGTCCAGAATTTGAATTATTCGTGTTCAAATATAGATCAACCTAATTGAGATGCATACAATACTTTAACTACCATTTGGATTTTAGGCTTTCTGCACCAGCTGCTCCAAATGTAATCCTTTCATCTGCTGGGTCTTTGATGTCTCTTTGAGATTAGGCCTAATTACAATTTATAAATTAGTAATTCTCTTTGAAAGTCAGTAGTGAGATAATGATCAAAATCGGACGAGTTTAGGCCCGAGGCCTTATCAACCTTTCGGTTTTTTTTCTAAGTTATATTTATACCGTTTGAAAATTTCAATTGTGGAGAAAAATGACATCTGTCTTGGTCTCATATTTATCGTCAGTACTTACCTCAAATTGCAGGAAAATGTTTTCCTTCACCGGCACCAGTCTACACAAAATAAACAGGCAAACGCAATTACATTCCGAGTTGGCATTCGTCATTGTTGTTATCAATAAGCTGAAAATTGTAGTCGACTATTATCATTGAGTCCTTTTCCTTTTACCGTCATGTCTTCCGTTGGGAATTGTAAGTTATACATGAACATCAATATTCTTCCTTTATGTGCGGGATTTTGATTGATGTGCCTGTCGTTCCGTTTGTATCTCTTTGCAGTTAAAGGTTTTTAACTTTTAATCAAATGCTTTCATTCTTAGTCCTCTTGGCAGCGATTCGAGGGGACCCCGCCTCGTTCATTAACATTTCAAAGAGAACAGAGTGCCTAATCTTGTCTTGAAGTATATTCCTAAAAAAAAACTTTCAAAATAAAAAGGAGCATCAAAATAGGCCGTTGAAAGGCAAACACGATTATCACGACAATTACATTTTAATTGGGAAGTGAGCACATTTTTTTGCAAACAAACAATGGCCTGATTCATCAGTGAGCGATTGGTCAACAAAGAACTATTTTAAACACTGGATCAAATAAAGGTCACTACAAAGCAAAATAAAGAAATCAAACCAAAACGAATTAATTTAATCAAATAACAAAATCACAAAGTGCTCTTACTTGAGCATTTCTTTGAAGCTGAGTTTGTTATCCTTGTCGACGTCAAAGAGTTTGATCTAGATAAAAATAGAGAAAACGTAGTCAAACATGAGTTACACCTGTTATCTTAATGAACTAAATACGATTCGCTATGACGAGATGAAGAGCTTGTCTTAGAAAAGCCATCCAACCCTTTCATCTTGAAATATTTCAAAGACAAGAAAAAGGTTTTCGCAGCGGGGATAATTACACATGTGGATTTCAGTGACGCCAGTAAGTTATTTTAGATGAAGGTGGGTACATACGCCTGTATCCTGTCAAGAGAAATGTAAAGTCCTATGACGTGCTCAAGTCCAATCTTTCCATTTATAAATAGATGTTTTGTACCAAACAAAATTTGCGTCACGGCATCAGAGTGGAAATAAAGAACCTGAGAACGAACACTGATGACGTCATTCACCACTGCGTTTGATAGGCGCAACACAATATACCAAGTAAGGAGCTTCGTCGATTGTTATGCAGTTCTTACATAAATTTAAATTCATGAATAAAACTGGGCTAAATATAAGGTTGATACACAAAGCAATGAATATATGTATTTTGATATCGGAAACCTCGATCGGAAGCTACATCCTTGTAAATTTCAATACAAACAAAAAGATGAAATGAAACCAGGTGAGGCTTACCATTGCGTCAGTGTATGTCTGGAGCTTTTCGTCGCTGAGTTCAACCTTGCTCAGGTCCCTTAGAAAGTTCTGTTGAATCAAGAAACATAAAAACGTGCCAACGATGTTCTAGGAGAAGCATTCCATTGAAATATTAAAATCTGATGTCTTGTGAACCATGTAATCATTTCTCACAGTAAATACACGTAAAGGGCACATTAAAGAAACTATCTAAATCAACAAGATTGCAGGATGGATCATTTTTCACAATAATAACGTGTTAAATACGTATTAAAATTGGTCCCTCTCTAAAGCAATCGACCCTGTCGCAATTTCTATCATTCTCCTACCTTTAGTTCGGATTTGTCAATGAAACCATCTCTGTCCGCGTCATATTTTAACCAGATCTGTACATAAAAATCAAAACATCATCTCACAATCACTGATTAATTCCATTTTCACTTTGTCTTGTATGTTCTACGAACGTTATACCCTCTTGACTAGCTGCCACATTTGGTGCGAAAACCGTTAAGAAGTAAGTTTTGTGCTTGGAAATGTAGGATTATTTTAGTGCGTTTTGGTAGGCCTACATCGAGTCCGTTGCAGCTTAACGGGTCAGGTGGTGGCAATGTTTTTGCGGTGATTGGTTGAAGTGTTTTTCTCCGAGCAAGATACATTACTGGAATTGGATTTTTTTCCCCTGTAAGCAAAAATGGTTATAGTAACCTCATTTTGTAGGTAGACATTATCCGTGGATCCAAGCATGACTTAGGTGCTTCGGGATGGTTCGATGATAGCTAAATGTTTGTGTTGCTGCCTTATGGCATCACAAGCAGTTCTACCTAACGATACAAAATGGCTGCTATTATATAGCAAAAAAACCCCGTGAACTGTGTTACACCATGCCCATTCGGTATACTTAATTAAAATTGTGGAAAGAGAGCACACAAGAGACTTGACAAATTTCAGTCTTGCCACCGACATACCAACCTGTAATAAAAACGTAATTGGTCCTCACGATGAGGTTTTTATATTTTTCTTCAAACCAATGATTTCCTGTGTTCGTATCTGACAAACCATGGGCTAATTGAGTTGGTTCCCGCGTTCAGAGCAGTAGAAATCAAGCATGTCCTCGTGTGCGTGCTTCATTTGCTGCGGTGTGATCAGGGGTTGAAAGCAAGACTAAACACTCAACGACTGTTTATTGCTTGACCTGGTGCAAAGAAGATAGTTTCTCGTGGAATGTAGTCCATCATCAACGATTAAATTTCCTTCGTTCCTCTTGTACATGTGTTAAATGGTATCCGACTATGTAATGAGGTTTCAATGGAAGTTCAAGAAAAATAAACTTCAAGCGGGACTCGCACTTGCCATATCCATCATAAATACCTGTTGATCTATCCTGCCCTATGATAACAGTCGCCCAATTTGCCATGTCATTCGTCTGCGGCGCCAGTCCCCAGCAAGAGTAATGTCAAGAAAGGCAAATCCATCAAGTGGCGCCAGACTACAAGCCTAGGCATTCCTATCCTCATTTTTATCAAAACTAATTCATTAAAACCGAATTTTATCACTGTGTCAGGATTTACTTTTGGAGGTGACACCTTTCCAACTATCATTTAGTTTCAGTTCAGTCTGAAAGACAAAGTGTTGAATACAATAAAACTAGACAATACGTGGAAAATTAAAAAGAAAAGAAAAAAGAAACCGATACCACAAATTAAGTGCACATGTGAATGATGCTTGACATGAATTACATCACGTCTTTGGATGCCTAAATGCCAGTAAAGTGTGCGGAGTAACACGATCGACATTAAATTTGAATCCCGACAGTCCCAATTTATGAACCACACTGGGACGCAGGCATGCATAAAACAGCCTTCTGGTCGGAAGACACAGCCACTATGCACATCACTTGGGGCCGAATCTACTTAACGGATTGTGACACGTGTCATGGCGGGAAAATGCCACTTAATTCCCGCCGAATTTGTTGCTGGCACGGCGCGGCGCGGCGTGGCGTGGCGCGGGCGATGCTGTCATCTGACCGCTGCCAAGGCGATTTACTGCCCCACGAGTCGAGAGGAAAATGGCTCAAAGGGAAGATACAAACAAGGATGGTTATGACTTTGATGTTCCTGGATCAGGATATTGAATTAAAAGAAAGATTCACACGGAATCCTGTCCATACACAAAATGAATCCTGGGGGCGTATTATGACGACAAAGTTTCTCGCCTCAAGGTGGCTGAGTTGTTTTACGAAACACGTCACATCGGCTTATTTCTTCGCGGTTTAAAAGGGTTTCACTGAACGAATCGCACTGTTCCCCGATAGGGACGACAGGCGTTGTTAATCAAACCTTCAAATGTCTCCTTCGTTTCACATCACACATTTAGATAAAGAGAGCTTTTTATATTATCAGACGGCAGCACAGAAGGATCCAATGAAATGTTTTGGATTTACAGAGTACCGAACTACTTGTCTTGGCACTAACTAATGTATTCCCCACCATCGTAAACCAATATTGTTCCGCGACAAATACACCCGTGATTAATGCATGATCAAGGAAGAGTGATCCGTACGCACACAAACACTGGAGGCGAAAAAGTCTTCGAAACTGAAAACGTGCGTACAGACAAAGTACGATTGACCCGAGAAGTTCAATAAGTGGCGGTGATTGTATACGCTGGTGTCAAAATGATAAGTTGTCTTGGCAACTCATCTGAGTTCACATCCTGATCGAACAGGCAATTGCAGTCCGGGGGCATCACATGACTTGGGCTGGTACGACAGGCATGTGGATTGGTCAAGGGTTGGGATTACTGACGTCGTCGTCTTCACCGGTTGTTTTGATTAGGCCTTTAGCGGGTCTCATCGGATTGATGTGGTACATTTCCGGTTGATTCCTACACTTTGCTGACATGGAATTCCTGTGTTTTATTCTTTAATAGTTAGAAAAAATGTGAACATTCAATTCCGGATCGAAAGAAAATTCCTTAGTTAATAAACCGATTCATAATATTCCCTTTTCCTAAAGAAGCTAGTATGAGCATGCTAAACGAAACGTCAAATGTTTACCTAAATGTTTCGTTTGCAATCATCTTATCTTCTTTCTATTGAGAAGAGATATCTTTCCACGGTCATTGAACAATTTCAAATCTTTCTTCAAATCTAACTTAGTTTTTCAATATTACTTTTTAAAATCTTGCTTGAGATACGGGTGTGATCCTCAGTACATATCGACATTTTGTCCCAACTTTTGGTCACTTCGCTTTATCTTTTAAACGGTGTATAAACCATTATGTGGCCAACATGGTCCGACCAAAATTGCGCATACACCACCGTATGTAAGAGAGATACACCGTCCTTCCGTATTCGTGGTGCCTATTAAGTATAAAGGAATGTGCAAATTTTCATGGCATTGTGGATTTTTTTTTTTTTTTTATTGTTTTCTAATCAACAGTTTGAGAAAATATGGTAGACAAAAATATAACGTAGTTAAAGGGAAATAAACAGTCCCTCTGACAATATCCGTTGTCTGAGGTTTTGATATATGCCGCTAGGCAGACCGTTAGGGGCAGGGCCAGACATCAATTTCGCCATCGCTAGTCAAGCAGCTGACGCGCAATGTCTCGCGGATATCCGTCTCATTTCCTGGGCTCTTTTCCCATTCATCCGTGTCATCAAGATCCTGCCATCGACAAGGTTGTTGGAGAGTAGGGGAGCCGGGGTGGACTTGGTGGGTTCAAAAGGGAGTAGGTCAGGTGTGCCTAAGACCCTCGGGTGTGCAGGTGTACAGGTCTTCGGGGGCGGGAGGACAGACATTGCGTGTGTAGTCTGTCACCTTGCATGGCTTGGCAAAACTGCCAAGCTTAAACTGATTGAAGGGCGGTAGATCATGCTCCCCAGCGTGCGTGATATTGAGGAACCGTCATTACTCTCAACATCCCAACAAGGCAATGAAACAGGTCAAGTTTTCGGATGTTTCCCGGTGCCTCAGCTTTTCCTTAAAGTTTTCTTTTTCAAATTAAAGGCACTTGTGATCAATTTGTAATCGCCCATTAAAATCGAGTAAAAACCTTGCTCGAAGTGAATATAGGGCTGGTCCTAAATACCAAATTAAACTATGAATGGTATCGTTCGGAAGAAAACAATCACCAAAGGTGGTAAAAAGAAAAGTGTGCCAGCCGGCATACGTTAACAATGTTTTCGTGCGTTAGCATTGGAATCCAGTTATTAAAGAAAGAACCAATTAATGAAGATCATTTGACCTTTACTTTCAATCTATCAACACATGCAGTTCCTTGCGTGTAGGCCTACATTACAAGCTGCGTTTCGGAATCATTTGTTTACATGGAATATGGAAGTCATTCGGTTGCGAGAATATCACATTTTAAAAAGGTGGCTTAAGATTATGAATCTAGACAGATCTCATACTCACGTCATAGAACTCTTTGCTGGTCCGGGGTGCCTCCTTGGAACGGAACAGGAGCAGGAAATTCTGCTCTGGCTTCATGATTTCCGCCAACTGTGAAGACAATAATAGAACAGTCTCGTGAAATTACTTATCACGTTTTGTTAAAATAGTTGCAATGGCAGTGAAGGTATATCAACAGTTATTTCAGAAGAACTACTCATTGGGCCCATTCCCACGCTTCTATTCAACGTGAATTGAAAATGTATTCCTAATGCACGCCTGCTCCAAAAAAGGAGGTATTTTGTGAATCGATCTTCAGAACAAAAGTATCTAAATTGCGAAATTTATGGGTATTTCATGCAGGTATTCAATTTGTTTCATTATGAGTTATTTAAATAGCTATATACATCATTGAGTAAGATCCCTACATGTTGTATCGGTAACAACTGTTTACAATAGAACAGTTACATTTATTATGAGTTGTCCTTAATAGTTCCAGCTTCTAAATATGCATTAGTTGCACAAACTTGGTATCAATACGATAACTTGGCCCAAATGATCAGTTAACCAAACCATGCACAACATTTATTCCAATGTCAAAGTCGTCTTTTGACCCTCCCTGTTCCGTAACATGGATCCTATCCTTTCTACGTCTCCTTCTGCAGGCCTCTGTGCGAATTCAGATGCCCACGTGTTAGAAAGGTGCATTTGACAGCTAGCCCCCAAGGCCCCATCATGCATTTTGCATGAAAGGGGGCACCAAATGCACCACGCGGCGCCATTCTAACGCTGTATCACGAGCGAGGTGTGCGGAGCACTACATGAGGTGCAAAATGGGCGGGTGGGCTCTATTTCTGACAAAGGGATGTCTTACCAATAATGTATAACAAGGAATCACGAAACGTGCCACGAATATTACCAAGCCTTAACTGGCACTGTTACAACACATACACTTGACATTATGGGCTAAATCTGTTATAAACAGTTTTCGTGTTTATCTGTGTACTTAAATCTCAAACCCCATAACATTTTTAGTGGGGTACTGACATTTCTATATAATTGTTCATATTGTTGCTCTTACAGTCCCTTACACGTAGTAAATTAACCATACCTTTTCAGGCGTTAAATACAAGTAGTCAGGATAGCATGGTCAAGGGTCTCAAGAATTACACTTGTGGTTCCCGTACTTCACAGTCTTTCAGAACCACAACTGTATTTTGTAAATATATTCAATGTTATAAAACTGGTTTGTTATTGCCCTGGCGAGACGGCACGATCAAAGAAGTAGGTACCATATGAGGCCCTGCATTTATCAATTTGATGCCTGATTTCACAGCCAAAATGCGCAGCCAAACTCGAGTTGCAATTTCCGGCATTGACATGAATTATGCAGGCGGCCTATTTGCTACAGGAACCCCTGTACTTTGGCGACATTATGTCCGAGTCGTACCTTTTAGGTGTTTCCCTCCATACCTAAGCGTGCATTAGCAATTACGCCTTTAATTGGAATTTCGATCTGGAATTTCTCGGAGTGCAGCGAACAATAGCGGCGCCTGGATGGTAGCTGTGGGATATTTTGCACATGAATGAGTCACGTCGATAATGCTTACATCTGGTGATGGATTTTTAATACTTTACGAATTAAAGACAAGCAGATGTGCTGTCAAAAATGTAAATACATATATAGAATACTTTTCGCAGCAGTCTATTATGCCGGTTAAAGGGCTAGTTTTAGCGCACTAAAATGTGCGCCCAGTTATGGTAGAATGACTGGACATGAGAAACCACTGAGTTAACCCTTCAACGATACGCAGAGATGCAAAACACAACAACAACAACAACAACACAACAACAACAACAACAACAACAACAACAACAACAACAACAACAACAACAACAACAACAACATGCTACATATAGGAAAGTCCTAAAATATTAACTAACACAATTAGTAACGATCTGATGTACAACCCGTATGATTTCGTAAATATTATGATGTAATTTCACATCATGACGCATGAAAATGAGTCCAGGTTTACACCTGATACATATCGCTTGTTTTCCCTTCAGCTGCACTAGTTCATTTCTAGTTACGATATCTTGTTTAACCATTCTTCTCAAACCAGGCCAACATCATACCGACTAAAGTCTTCTCTCTCTCTGTTTATCTTTCCTATCTTGAAAACTATCTTGTCTTATCTTGAGTTACTTTTTTTTTCCATCCCGAAGACTTCTCATGTAAGGCTGCATAACCAGCAGAGCCAGACAGGAAACCATTTCTATCCCGAGGGTCGGAGCAGGAAAAACGGAAGGAACAGCGAGGGAGAAAAGTCGTGCTTGCTAGGTACCTCACTCCTAGTCACGATTCCTTGATAAGGATGGATAGTCAGGCGGCTGCATTCATGACTTAAATGCTTGATTGCCAACAGCGAAGAAGCCGTTCTGTCTGTGGCTGTTTAATGCGTAAAACCTTAAAATGCAAATAAGATGATAACCATGGAAAATGTCACCCGCCTGACGGTTTAACCGCCAATTTTACCGACTTGTACCACACTGGAGTGGATCAGATGGAGAGTGCAGTAGAAATAACCGGGGTGTAGGGTAACTATTTTACACGATAATGCGAGTAAATCATTTAACAGCGCAAAGTGTTCTACATTACCCGAAACACTTAAAAAAAATTAAACCTCAAATTAGAGTCGAGGACATGGTACACTTATCGTTACCAGGAAGAACAGGGTCACTGAATACGACGTTAATCAGTGGTACCATTGTAATATCAAATCGGGTTTATGGCTATAAATAGGTGGGTACAACCGCTGCTCTGAAATGACGGTGAGGTAAATTGAATACATCACAGCCTGTCTCTACTGAAACCTCGAACGTTTTTAATATGTTTCTTGTTGTGGGTATAGGTTGAAGAGCTTCAGCCCGAATGGTTGTCATTGCTTTATGATTAAAGACCCTCTAGAAACGAAGTTGACATGCCTCATTGAAATGAAAATACGTGACATATGCCACTCGACCTAGGTAGCCAGCTGGTTGGTTTTGGGACAATGTCTATACTTCACCATCATCAATCCATCAAGTTAAAGGGCAAACTAGAAAGACCTCTGCATGTTTTAACCCTGCACCTTGTACTCTAAAGTGCCATGAAATGGAAATATGAGTCGTGGCGAAACCATGAAGGCTTTTTGCTCAATATTGTGCGCGTATTTATTGAGCTTTTAGTCTTATTATCTCCAAACCCATCCACAGGTCAATATGCAAGACAATTTACCCTGCTTTGCCTAATAAGTGAGCTATTTACGCTATTAGAGTTGATATTTAACATGTGAGGGTACGGCACACGGCAATGAAACGATTGACCGCCGCACAGTTAATTATTTTTAAGGAAGCCATTCGTATATCATGCCGTACGGGTTGTTTTAATTGAGTTTGCAAGCGGAATTTAAAACTTTACTTTCAAAAAGTGTCGAGGCCAACCGCCATGTTTCATTATGTCATGAGACTCGATAACCAAAATTGTGCCTTTTTTTCTACAAAATGTTGGCTTATTCTGAAGCCGTTTCTCTCTTGGGGTCAATCGAACTTTACACATCACACGATATACGGAGCCACTGAGAACAGTGGAAGCTCCACAAATATATAATTCATGGTGTTGTAAATGTTTTGAATAAATAATCACTTTCAGACTCATGGCATCGTGAACAGTGCCTGTAGGGTTAAACATCACCAAATGCTGGGACTTTGACTCAACTGACGAAATTAAGCCGAAGTTCACCCATGCAATAAAATGTACCAATACATTTTATTATAACAGCCGTGAACATAAACCAACAACATATAAGAATATGATATCGTTCTCCATGTATTGACAGGCAAATCATTTACTAATTATTCGCCAATGCCGACCGCCGCTTGCTGATTCTGCCGAGATAGATGGCGGGAAAGTGCGATAGTTACCATGACAACATCAGAATAACAGCACAGTAGCTGTTAGCTCTTCATATTGATAAATAATGTGAACCGCACCATCTGTATACTCTCGAGATTGAAATTTTGATAATAATATAATGTCCATATACGAAAAGGGTTTTGAACAACGCCAGCATGGATGGGACTTTCTTTGAAAAATCATTTTTCCATAATATAGTATGAATAAATTATTAGAACGAGCTACAATGAAATAATGTCGAATGTTAACAAGGTGACATTTCGACGGTGGACGTGCATTGAAAATGACAAGAGACGAAACAACCAATGGATATGAAATTAAAGGGGGACAAATAGATTAGTACAAGCCTATACATTTGTGCATCAGTAATGTTGAATTTGCTCATAAGGCAATGCAAACTATAAATATTTGTAATGATCTCTCTGGGAAAAGCGTTAAATACAAGTGCATGGATCTAGTGAATCGATATTGTTTTAAATATTATCAGATGATGAATAAAAGTCCTGTTAGCGCGTCATGTCATGTTTATAGACCTCTGCATGATAACCATTATATTTTTTTTAAATTTCAATTCGGTAAAAATGTATCAGTGAAAGGGTATCCAAATGCCTTGGGCATAGATAGGAGAAAGGCGCTACCTTTTGTTAATGACTGCCGTGCGTAATGTCTACTCACAATGACATTGCAATATTTCAACCAATTTATCCAAACCAAAACGGAAAAATTGCCTTTTGTCCTCCTGTAAATTATCTGATACTGCTGACGTTTTATGATTGAGGCAATTTCTATCAAAAGTGGTGTAGTTCTAGCACTGGACACGGTAATGGGGAGTTCACTGGGGCGTATCAGACCCTCATGCAAATCTAATGGGCATTGGTTCCCCACGACTGATTCTGAGTGTCTTTACTCGTCATATTAATGGCATGCAACGAGCGTCGGAGGCAAAGGGGCGCATCAATATTAAAGTTCCTTAATGATGTCGTTACAGCAACTTTAACCGCATGGGATCTACAGTTGACCTCGAGAATGCATGAATACTTAGAGGACAACTGCAAAACGTGCAGGGAATCCACTTTCGCGGAGAAAAAAATCATCAAGTATATTTCATGGTTGTGTTCGTGTGTGTGGGGCTTATTATTGGAAAAACACCATTGAGTCTTTCAGCATTGACGTTTTCGTATCAAGAGATCAAGACATCAAGAATGTTCATGACTCACCCCACTGCGTGTTTATAAGCTACTCAAGCAGCTGAATTACAACAATAATTTTATTGCGAAAACCCAATAATTTGTTTTTGAATATCTTAGACATTGCAGTTACATCCAACAATATACTTATAATGGAAATTATCCCGAGATATACTTCAAATTATGCTGTTCATGAAACCATCTGAAGTTACAAACGGATAAAGATAGTAATATTTTAATTTCAATTATTCTTACGCACTGTAAACTTTCTTCATAGATATTTTGAATCATACTTCACTTTATACCCTTCTTTTATCACTGTATAGGCCTGTACGGTTATACTACATCACATAATTATCGGCGGACATTATAGCGCGACTTAAGAAGGCTATATTGGTTGCATGTTGACGTTGTTATGCAAACAGAAAACAAAAGGCTTTTCCACTTACAACTAACAGACAAAGACAGGTAAATCTCCCTGAGACATTTCCCCAAAAGGTGCTTAATTGGATTTTCAATTACATTGGAAGATAATGAGCTAATGTCTATTAGGCGGCGCGCTTTCACATCATGAGAGCACAGAAACGCATGCAGGCAGAGTTGATTCAATTGGTGTCCTAAAATTATCATAAAATGCAGAGAAAACGTAGTCATTTCAGGAAACCTCCATCACCAATTAGCCTAATAGAAATGGTAAAAGGGAAGGAAAGAGACAAGCTGAGACCCCATGACGATAAATCATATTTTACGACGGACGAAAACGGTGCAAACTTCCGTTGGGGCTGTTTAATACGTATGAACAGCGCCGCTGAAGTCAAATGGATGTGTATAGCCTCAGCCCCTTTTTATAATTTTCCACGGCCGCAAAATGTCCAGATTGTTTTCCAGTCCACGCCCCGCTACATATAATATTCACTGTCGCCTTGTATAGAAGTGGAGTAATTAAAAATAGCCGCAGCAATTATACAGCAATTAGAAAACGAAATGGAAAGTACTGGTCAGCCGTTTGTTTTTAGGGCATCCACAAGATGTAATTTCGCAATCCATCACCTCCTATCTCAATGACACCTTCCCTGAATTATTTACAAAATCTACAGGGCACGGGGAGAGCCTGCATCCCATGGGTAAACACAGGCTGGTGGGTCCGGGGTGTCAAAACACATTTACCCCGGTCCCTTATAATGGACCATCGTGTCCATTATGCCGAGTTCAAACCAAGGATTGCTTTGACCATTTTCTTCCTCTGCCGTTAAGATTTTTTCCCTGCCCGGTGGGCGTGGCGCCCTCATTGCAAGGTCACTGTTTTCAATCGGACACTTATGATGACCAATGGCATTCTCGCCTGCTTCCATGAGCAACGGAAGAGATTTCTGATCAACAAGTTTATCAATTTCTTTTTTTAAAAGGGGGGGGGGAAGAAGGTTGACTACATTCGTTATTTGATTGTTATTTACATGGCTCAGTTGACCGTTATCGATTGCTTTGTAATTTCATTCTTTTTAAATTGATTTAGTAACATGTTCAGGCATTTTTTTTTCAAATCTGTTTCTCCATTTATTCATTAAAATTATTATTAACTCTTAGGTGAATCCTTCTTTGTCTGTTTTTTTTGTGTGTTTGAACTAAAACAAGAGTTGAAATTGAATATTGTTACTTTTGTTATTGTACACCAAAGTAAAGACAAACAATTTTTGAATTTTTAAATATTTTTCTTTTTTTCCCCCTTCTTTTGTGCAACTTAAATACAAATTATACATGTTCGTCAGTAGAACTGTTGAACTAAAAGATTTACCAGATAATAGTGAACCGGGTTTTTTTCCGGGTGTTAAAATATCGCCATTATAAAAATACCGTACACTCCGTGTGGAATTGTTCGGAGAATATTTCCATGTCATCAAATTAAATTTCATGCATCAGTTATAATCAAATCAAGCCATACGGGTGCATTTGTCCTCGACAGCATAATACAGGCTGACATGTGTATCTCAACTTTGCATAATTATACAGAAAACAAAATATGACAGAATAACCATAATCAATTTTGGTCCCATAGGCATTATGAAGCGTCGTTATTTTGATATCAACGCAAAATGTGGAAGCACTGTTTTGCAATGATGGCATGGCATACGCTGCTTATTCCTGAACGACAGATCACGTGATAGGGTATTCAATTCTGCTGGAGACCAGACTACAGGTAATCTGGACCCAACACACAGGGGTAATGATGTAATGCTGAACCCATCCGTTAAAGAGGCAAATTCTACAAAAATTCGCCGGTTGATCCAGAATTGTAGTTGCTATATCTTCTAATTAAATAAACTAAAAACCTATAGGTTTGACTGATTTTGAAACTCAAATTTGTGATTTTTCATGTAATAATTTTTGATCACCAAGATACCACAAACAGGAAGATAAAGAAAGGGAATTACTGTCATTTGTTTTTAATACAGATGTGTACTCAAACGGCGGTGCTCGCTGCGAAGCCCACTCTTGCTTCTTACTTTCGAAAATACGTCATTTGACATAAAGCAATGGTTCATAATGTGATGTGGTTTAACAAAGCAGGGCAGTGAATATTATCTCTTTTTCAGCAGTTGTTAAAGTTGCAGTCCCCGTTCTAGTTCCGAGGTTTTTTTTATTGGAATAAAACAAAAAAATTGAAAATTTATTAAGGAAAAAAAAAATTGTTGAACACGGGAAACGCAACTTTCAAGGAGTTGGAGATTGAACGTGGACAAGCTTTCCCCTTGCGGTCCCGGATGTTGATTTCGCCTCATTCTCAGGGCTGTATTACTCACCTCCATCATCTCAATCCGATTGTCGTTGTTCTCATCGTATATCTTCATGTATGTGGCGATGGCTTTCTGCAGACATTCGTCGGACTCCTGTCAACACAATGAAAAAAAGAAAGAAAAGCTTGAATGCGTTTTTAATGTCTGGTATTTGAACCAATAAGTATCGAGATAATTCGCAAAAGCCAGTGAAGCCTCGACCCCAGGGAGCTCAGACTGTCCGTAGGTACTCAATTGATCACGATTGGTCGTAATCGATCCCAAACACCGTCCCAATCTGCCCTCACAGGAATCTAATGTTTCTTCTTCCGGATTCGGCTGCGGGAGATTTTGAGGCCATTGACTTAAAACATTTGGCTCATGATACATATTCAATGAGTCTTCCATTTTGAGCATTATAGAGGCTTCCACATGATTCTGGGGGCATAATAGCCAAAGCCATTGCGACGAAGCTGAGGTTTGGAAAGACCTAATTTTTAGGAGGCCGAGGCGACAATATCAGAGTAAACTGTCAATCTCGGGGACATACACACCGTACCGTGACACCCCATCGGCTTTGGTTTGAGTTACTCTTAACGTTCTCACACATAAATAATTGCAAAAACTGCCATACCACGATGGTCCTCAGAATTGAGCGGCTTCCGTTCGCCGACTCTGATTATTAACAATCAACATACTCGCTGTATTAAAGATATGAAATGGTAAACGTTTTGTTGATAGGGTTATACTTCCAAAAGTGAACTTGAATTTGCCATTATCTGTGGTATTGTAAATTATAAGAACTCCGAATGTGAAAATTGTTACAAGGTTTCTATTTTGGTAAAAAGCTATTATTATAATTAAAAACATGAATTTGACGTGTCCTGCCAATGATCAGCCAGCGAAACCAAGATCCCTATGTTTATGTTTCAGTGCAAAATGTTGCATGCGCTACCAACATTCAAACGTGATCTGTGACGAAACTCGTGTTAAAAAAATTGCAATGTCACCAGTTTATCCTAGCTGCTGTAAACTAAAATGGCATCCCCGTGTTGGTCTATCTTATCCAAATCATGATTTTCGAATGTCACGCAAATCGGAAAAGCTCAAACAGCATGTGACATTCAGGCTCTTAGGAATGACACCGCTCGCATGTTTACACCATCTTGGTATCTATATAACGGTCTTGTTCAATCGGCGTCAAGGTTTGTGGATAAGAAGGAAAATTAACTGGCGCTGACATGTCGATCCGACCGTTAGCTCTAGACCCGTCATTGTAATCTACCAATCTAAACGAGTCTGGCTATATAGATGTTAGAAAACTGCAAATTGACCTGTAACATTCAGACTCTTGTGAAAATAGCAATCAGCCAGTCGAAGAAAGTTAAACTCAGCTCAGAGCCTGATTTCATGGCTGCCGCTTGCCGTAAACGTTGGCGAAGAACCTGCGCTATTTTACTATGGAACAACCGTTTGACGTGTAGGCCTAAGCAAGGAAGTATGGTTTGTGCGCAACACAGACGAACATAATGATAATGTTAGTATGTGCGACCGCAGTTTGCACAAAATGGTTATCAAAAAAGGCGCACAAACTTATGTTTCGTACATGCCTGACTAACTTATTCCGACCATACCACAGACGCGAATGTGTTAAGAAGAACAAATCTACAGTAAGATACTTCAACCAAAACAGGCTTAACTACATCATATAAAGTTTGTAACGTTTATATCTGCTTATAGACTAAAAATGTATTTTAGCAAACAACCAAACATAAAAAGAGTAAAACTCAAACTTTCGTATACGTAACTCGACCCTGGAGGGATACACAAACGTCAGTAACGGATGTTTTCGGCAGAGATGAATAATTGGACTCCGTTTTATATCCCCCAACACATACCGCCTGAGACCCCGTGTTGCACAGCCGATCTGAACGGCACGCTAGTAAGCACGCCGTTAGTCGCGCACTTTCGGTTTTTCGCGCCAAAGATCCTGGCGATTCCCGCCAATTTACGTCAGAGCGGGAACCCGCAGGCAGGGCGCGTTTACAGTGGGTCGTGCGGCCACATAAAACAACATCGATTTGCCACAGCCCACGTCAGGCAACCTGTGAAGCTGCATACGCTGGGTGCTGCCCAATTTACAGAGCAACCATTTCCGGTAACAGCTATGGAACGGTAGCTCGTTTGCATTCACAATAATGTCATTTGTAAAGTTTGGCCTAGAGGAAAGAGATTAACTGCCGGTATCTGTTGACATGTTTTGGCTTTACAGAGGTTCTATTTGCTCATGGATCTACAAAACAGGTGCTTTGCCTTAAGTTCGCCTTGATCATTCTACTATTCGGGTGATTGTATGGTTACAAAACAAATGTAAACGATACACAAAGCTTCAATTTTAAAAGACGAATGGAAAGACCGAAGTGTATCATGTTACTTTGGGGCTGGTCCACTTTAAGGCCAAAAAAGTCTCCAGTTTCTGGTATGCGCGCGCGTCACCGTAGACATGCTCGTCGGCAAAACGAAAAAGTGGGGGTTTTTTTTCAATGTAAGATGATGTCTCATAGGCCCTAACTGCCAAACTCACTGGTTCACTGGAATCCTGCTGCTGCACAGCAGCAGGGTAGGGTAGGGTAGGGAAGGGAAGGGTAAGTAGGGTAGGGAAGAGTAAGTAGGGTAGGGTAAGTAGGGTAGGGTAGGGTAAGTAGGGTAGGGTAGGGTAAGTAGGGTAGGGTAGGGTAAGTAGGGTAGGGTAGGGTAGGATAGGTTATCAGGTTGGGCAACTGGTCAGGAAGCGGGTTTTGTTGTGTTCATTGTTTTCCCTTCGTTTGTGTTGGAGCTTTGAGTTCAATACCTGTAGCTATCTTGGCACAATGTGCCACTCAACGGAAGGTTTCAAACTTGTATAAAAAGCAACAGTGAAACTTAGTAAGCAGGTTATGCCAGAGTTCTGGATATTATTGGGATTCATTGAGTATACCGGGCAGAAGCGTAACTAGGGTAATCTTATAGGGGGCACCTGGGGGTGCACCGGGTGTTTTTTTTTTCAAGGGGGCACTGAAGGCAGCTGATAGTTATAGTTATGCAATGCAAGATTTACATGGGGGGGGGGCACCCGCGGGGGCACGGACCTCCGCTGGGGGGATGTACCCCCGTAGTTACGCCACTGAATAAAGGTGAACACTGAGTCATCGCCCTTTCGATTCCATGGAAACGAGACGTGCTAATCGATAATGTCTATCGAATTCTGGTACTCCGACGGGTGCTGCGATCAGTTAACAGGGAGTCACTTATTTATCAAATCCTCACGAACCAAAACAGATGACTTTACTGAAGGTCCATTGGACGTGAAGTAGCCCCTGAGCATGAAATACGAACCACTTGTTATTTGTTTTGAAAGTTCAACGGTGGACAAATAGTAACTGTATGCAGCACTGGATTGTAAACCGGGACGTTTATTACGAAAAAACGAGACGGATCGAAATGACTGATCATATGTCCGAGTGTTTTAAAGCAATCTGGTCTTTTGTTTTGCGCGGAATTTGGAATAAAGCCGAAAATGCATCATGCATGCACTCAAAACCAAGACTCTTTCGTGTCGTTAGGTTTCTCAGCCTTTACGTTAAAATCCATTGTTAGGTTTAAATCTATTTTCAGTCGCGAGCTTCGTTTCAGCCAACTTCGGTGCAAAGCGCCATCGTATGAATGTAGCGTATATGTGGAATTGCGTCAAATACGGCATTTTGCCAGTAATTGAAATACCGGTAGATATGGTTAGTTCTTTTTCCTTTCATTTTCTTGTGCTATCCGTGACTTTATCGGCTGTAATGGTAAGCTTGGACGGTGCAGGTTTATTAATGGGATAGCTTTGGGCATCGATTGTTTTTAACGGACGTGAAGCACCCTTGATATCCATAAGCTAAATTTAGCCTTTTAATGGAACCCAAGACTCCACTCGGTAGTCTCATATGGCTCTGTCATGTGCGCAGAGTGGCTATTTTGAGCCACAAATATAGCGGCAATCAAAAAAGCGGAGATTGTATTCGTGACGTGCGTGAATCTTATATTACTCAATGTGGCTACGTTAAAGGTGCAGTGACTGCATGTGGTTTTTACATGATATCGTACTTGAAGTTGTCCGTCGTTCCAATGGTTCAATATGGCAATCTGACATTAAACAAGGGGGCAGACCACATAGGTTTCATGTCACAGTACGTGGCACATACTGTAAGTCACTTCCTGCCGAGGCCTCAAGGGTATAAAAGTTCCTTAACCCTGAATAAAAGGCTGGATTACGCCTTGCAGAGCACCTTGATCCCAGATAAGTGCCCCGGCGATACTCAGATGTTGAATCTTGGCAGGTTCAACATGATAAAACATCTTCACTGAAATGTTTCATGTTATTCATCGAACTGTTACTGATTAAGCTTAATGGCGACCCACTGCTTAAATATAAAATCAGCAGTTCAACATTTTGTATCGATGGCGCCAACGTGGATGCGCACACGATGAACCAATCCTTCAATTATTCACCGTGGAAACCATGGTCCAATCTAGAATAACCCAGTCGAATCGTTGATCATATCACGCCAGTACAGGATGACACATACAATGTTTATCTGTCTGCGAGATACTGCAGGTGTGAATGGAAATGACAGATGGTGAACCTGAAACTGTTTCCCGCCATAAAAACCACAATCCGTAAAATGCGTTTACCAAGAGGTGAGAAAACTGCCAGAGCAAGGGATGGATATATGGTAACTAACACAGGGGTTGATTTGGAGATCCAGAAGCGCTCTGGATTTGGATCCTGATAAAGATGCGTGTTACCAAAAATATCAGCTGAAAGGCCTCGATCTACATTTCATAAGGTTCTATTCATAGTTTCATACGAGTCTGTTATACATTCAACTAGGTAAATAGGTCAAACACCCCACGCCATAGTTTCTATTTATTACCGCGCAGTGACGGCTGGGCCGCTTATAACCGGTAACTATAGTTCGAGGAAACCAACGGGATGTGCCACAGAAGATTGGAATTCCGATCGGGCATCACGGCTAATCTATCAGCGAAATACAAGAGTCGCTGGTGCCCGCCGGGCGGCTTCAATGAAAAGC